TTGCAGTTCCCCTCACCACTTGCCTTATCTTTTAGCTCATTGTTTAGCTAGGTGTAATGGTTTAGGTTGCAACTTTACTGTTTTGATTCCCTCTCACTGCTGTCATGAGCGTCATAGGGCTGTCCCCGACTAAGGATTTACATAGTCGATTGAATCAGAATTGTCAAGTCATGTCTATAGTCAACTGATAGTGTGCGCTGCTATTGCGGGGGGGCGTTAATCTTGAGAAGCTGCAGAGCTGCAGTCTCTATTCATTCAACTTACACTGGAAATTTGCAGCCAAACTGAGGCTTTTTGAAGACCATTTTCTCTCTCTCTCTCTCTCTCTCTCTCTCTCTCTCTCTCTCTCTCTTTCGCCTGTCATTCACCGGTCTTGTGTGACTTTTGCGTGCATGCCGTGCTGCCGACAACTACATGCACGTCGCAGTTCCTCACGGGTCTATTTCAAGTAGCTGGCTATTTAAAAACAATTAAATATTCTTTGTGTGGTTCATCAACGGTGATAAATTTTCCAAAAGTCCCGCAATGTGCAGACAACTCGGCACAACACCAGTGAAGCTGGGGCTCGGTCTCTTCAGCAAGTGTTCCTCTTCCGCCACCACACACACACACACACACACACACACACACGCTACACCTACACATGCGCACTGACGACCCAGGGTTAGGGTTACAATTTTGGATTTATGCACGCACTTTAAAAACATTTATTTTAAGTTGTATTCTTTTTACATGTTTATTTACAGCATTAAACGTTGAAATGTATATTGTAATAGGCTGTATGTTAAGTTATTGGGAGAAAACTGGTAGTTCTATTTAAAATCCGACGTTGAGCACCCCCATATCGCCACAATGGCATGATCCTTGTTTCGCTGCGAAGCTCCGACTGTGAGATTGACAGTCGAATCAGGCTCAGCCCAATTCTGAAGTAATGTTTTCTTGTTCTATAATTTGACCAGTTCTTCCTTTTATGTACATTCCTGCTCTGAACATCATCACCTTACTTTAATGTCACTGATTGTGATTTTTAGCAACAGCTGACCCTTTTCAGATTATGCCATATTGCCTGCTATTCTTTCATCACAAACACATTGTCACTCTGTTTTCTTTGCCTCTCTGTCATCTCTTCAGTCAGTCACTCTTTTTTTCCGGCTGAAAGTCCATATTATATGAGCTTCTAGATTTGTTTGTTTTTTAGTTGCTCAAAGCACAGCTGTGATGTGATGCAGCTATCATGTGCCCTATTGTGCCTTGTCTCCTCTTTGTCTTGTGACCTAGAGAGAGTCCGCCACCCTCAGTAACTAGATCAGACACAGAAGCATTTAGCACACTGTCAGAAGTGGTGAGAAGTCTTTTCCCCCTGCTGAAATTAGATGAGCTGCTCTGAGGGTCTAGTTCAGCGCTTCAGTTAACGCAACCAAAGGAAATAACTTTTATTGTCTGCCAGCCTCTTTCTCTTCTTTTTTTGCTCTACATCCCATGATGCATTGATTGAGAAACGTACTGTATGTAAAGAAGGAGTAGGCGAGACGCCGGCTTTATTTCTGACTGCTTGAAGAGAATTGAAACCAACAACGTCAAGCTGGAGGCACTCCATCCCTCTGGCCCAAACTGCTCCAGAAATAGGGCCTGTTTTTGTAAGAAGATCCATCACAGAGATGCAGCCACCTCCCTGCTCCCCTCCCTTTCCTTTCCCAGTGAGACTCTGGTGGTCTGTCAGGTCTCTGAAGTGGAAAGAAGTGTATGTTATGTGATTAGAGAGTCTGTTTAACTTAATTTAGACATGTAGGAAACATGGTGTCTGTAGTTATCTCTCATGGGTTTGCATTAAGAATAGGAGGTTCTCCTCAAATGTGGAGGCAGTGAACTTCTCAGATTGTGTTATCTTCCAACCTGGCTTATCAGTGATGAAACTGATTATTTTCCACTGGAAAGGACGATTATTGTTTTAGGTTAAGGATGAATCTCAGCGTCTGTGTCACAGCAGTCAAACAGGAATTTTGATGTTATCTGGAGTGAATTGTTGAGTTCAGATTCTGTGCCATGTTTGAACATATTTCAGGGACTTTGCATTCATGTCTACTTGTGTTAATGACAAATGTGTTTCCTGTTTGATTTTGAAGTTCCTGTTTGTCCCTAGATGGAGGATATTTTTTGAGTAACTATTTTCCAGCCATCAGCATCTACATGTAGACTCAATTTTGTCTTCCTTTTGCCTGTTTGCATCATCCTCACTACACAGAGATTGAACCAAATCATCTCTTTGAATCCATTGTTCAACACAATTTCTCTGTGCTTGAATCGTTGCCATGAATAAATTGGGTTTTGATTTTGCTGCTGGTTAGCTAAACAACAGTTGTGCAGTGGGGGATGATGGATAATTGACAGAGGGAGGTGGTTGTAGGCGTGGGAGTTGTTGCTGAAATCCATCTGTCAAGTGAGTTTTAAAGGCCTCTCCCTCAGGAACAACATGACATTGCCGTTCAGTTTTTACTCTTTCTAACATTGTTGCACGGAAATAAACATCTGTATACAACTATCATGTGTCAAACAGGTTATTTCACTCTGGGAATCTCACGAACAGAGGATGTTTAAATAAAAGAAAAGACTGAAATGAAAGGTTGTTGATATGGAGGCCTCTGTTAAATTATTTTGTAGCACTGAGAGCATGCAACACGTTTCATTCTGAATTCCGTACTTATACCATACATTTTAAGGAAATACGTCCAAAATGCACTAAATATCTCTTTGTTTGAAATACTGGATATGAAGTGCATCAAAAGCCATTTATTGGAGGGCATGTGCAGCATTTGAATGAAGCCAAAAGAAGCACTGCTATCTCATCTTTGCTGAGTTATTTGAGGCTGTTCAGACGACCTCAATGGAACCGGAGAGCAGATGATAGCTGGAAAGTGAGAGGAAGCTGGCTGAGACCATGTGTTAGAGCAGTCCGGGGGGCGGGAGGAGTGGTCTCTCAGGTGTCACGCTGTCTTTCACGCTGCAGAGCGGCACATCAAAGGAAAAGGTTGTGCTTAGGTGTTTGCTTCACGCATCTGCTTCCTTCCTCGTTTTATTAATTCTGCCATTTTCACTGTTAATGTAATTGCCCTAAATTGCTAGGGGTATACCATTACAGCGTACAGTATAATCTCATTCACTTCAGGCTCTGAAGGTAATAGAACAATTTATCATACTTTTAGTTCTTGTTTCATTCATTTCTAGCTTTACCATGCTCTCAAGCACTGCTTTTATTTTGTGTTATTCAGTATTGTGCTGCTGGGAGTTTGCTGCTGGGACAAATGTTTTGTACAATTTGATCTAATTATGGATTTAAACTGCGGCTGTAAGACACAATCTTGTGTACTCCCATACCCATGTCTTATTGAAAATGTATCAAAGCACAAGAAAACAGTAACAGGTTGTATGAAATTGTAGATTTTAAAGCTGCAACAATTTGTTAATTAATTGATTTGTCAACTATTTTGATAATCTATTAATCGCCATTTTTCAAGCAAAAATGCCAAACAGCTGCTATTCATATATGATAGTAAATTTAAAATCTTTTAGTAAATTAAAAATCTTTGGTTTTTGTGTATTGATCAGACAAATGAAGAAAATTGAAGATGTCACTACTTTGGGCTGAGGGAAGTTGTGATGAGTGAGCTTTCTGGCATTTCATAGATTAAAAAATCAATTGGTTATGATCATATATAATGAAAACAGTTTTAAAATGCTCTTTTTCCACCTGTGCCTGCTACAGTGACCAAATTTGTGTTTCATTTCATTTCATGTCATCTTATATAAGGTATGGCATATATTAAGGCACTAGAATACCATGCCAGTCAGTGAGCGCGACAACAATCATCTTTAGTTTGCTTTTCCTGGCCTTGACACCTTCAGGCTGTTAATGTGAATCTGTGAAAAAAAGTGAAAATTAGAGAAGCAATTTTCACTTCACATCACCTCTCCACCTGCTGTTATGTGTTTCGATACTGAGGCAATTTTCACACCTTCAGCTGCATATGGTGCGGTCATAACAGTAGTTTCACATCTTTGTTTTTAAACGCTGTAGCCTATCTCTTGAAAGTGGTATTTTTGTGATGTGTGATTTGCCTAAACCACATAAATCAATGGCCAAATGTGTCTTTTTAGTGAATTCATCCCCTCTCAGCTCTGGGGTTGTGAACATGATAATTTTATGCTTCCTCATAGCTGTGTGCTTGTGCGTGTGACTTTTCATTAGCTTTTTACTAAATTAGTCTCCAGCTGGCGAAACATTTGCTGATCAAACATGTTTTTAACACACTGTATCATTATTCTGACATATCGCGCATGCCCTTCTGAGCATTTCTTGTTGTGCTGTAACGATGCCACAACGCCACAATAAAGGGCGGGAGGGAAAGGGGAATTTTCCAGGGTTCAGTTTTAGGTTGAGGTCTTGTTTATAGTTTTTAAAAATGGCAATCCTCCCACTTCTCAGTACACACAAGCTGTCAAGATTTCTACAGTGGCAGTGTGTTTTTCCTAATGTGGTAACTTGCAGTGAAAGGTGTGGCTCCCCAGTGACCCCTCAGCTAACCACATAATCATACAGTAACTCTGTTTCACTGGTTTTATTTTGTTGACCACCGTCACATTTACACTATTCTGATGAGAAACACTATGACGATTAACAGCGTAGTGATGCATCTCCATAATCCAGTATTCTCTTCTATTTAGAGAACCAAATCCTGCCAACTTTTCAGCTATTTACTGTTTTGTTAGCTTTCATTGCTCAACTTTTCTCATTAAAAGCTGTCTTGATTCATTTTCAAAAGCTGGGACATAATAGTAGGGGTTGTATGTCTGTACTCTAACAGATATACTCATGTACTGGCAAGTAAAATACAAAGAAACCCTCTATGAGAAAATACATTAACTGGATATCTTTATGTCTCTCCACAGTCAACATTTAACATATTTAACTGGACTCTTGTTATGTTCTCTCTCTTTTCCCTCAGTGAACAGAGCATCTGCCAGGCGCGGGCCTCGGTGATGGTCTACGACGATGCCAGTAAGAAATGGGTGCCCATCAAGCCTGGGCAGCAGGGCTTCAGCCGCATCAACATCTACCACAACACTGCCAACAACACCTTCAGAGTGGTGGGCGTCAAACTGCAGGACCAGCAGGTGAGAGAAGCAAAATAAATAATAATTCTCCTCCCTCAGATGCATTTTTACAGATCACAAGTCTGTGATGCTCAGTGGAATTCAGGACTCATGAATTCCGTGATGTAGTTTGTAGTTCTTATCCTCAAACCGCCAAATATTTTATCATTAACGACTTGTGAGCATTCACGAGATCAAGAAGATATGATCCAAAAGTTGGTCGCGTTAGGCTTAAAATATCCTGCATTAGCAATATCACGCCATATCCATACAATTTGGGTTTATAACATTGAACACTGGTCGTTGGCTGAGGTGTTCATGTTTTTTGCTTTCAGCACAGTGCCAAGTCAGATATATCAGAGCTTTCAGAAAATCATAATATAGTCATATAGTCATAATCATGACTTGGAAGTTGGTGTAAAGCTATTTACAAGTCGCAAACTCGAGAGAGAGAGTTTAAACAGGTTTGCCAGTTGAGAAAAATTATTGTTGTGCTGTTTTTTTTAAGGCAGTTCTTTGGAACACTGGTACCGTAGAGGTTAGAAAATCAGTATGGAGCTGGTATAAAACAGCTGGTAAAATGTGAAGGAGGAAATAAATAAGAATCTCTTTCCACTCCCTGAACACCAACCTTTGACTGTAATACTTAATCAACAGTTGTCAATACCTCTCCTGCCTTATGAGTTACCAGTCAGTTGCACATGATCAGATCTATAAAACGTTTTAATTCACAGCTTAATTATCCCTCCCCCATTGCAGGTGGTGATCAACTACTCCATAGTGAAGGGCCTGAAATACAATCAGGCCACCCCGACCTTCCATCAGTGGCGTGACGCCCGCCAGGTCTACGGGCTGAACTTTGCCAGTAAGGAGGAGGCCACCACCTTCTCCAACGCCATGCTGTTCGCCCTCAATGTCCTCAGCTCACCCGACGGTGGAGGTAAGGATTCATCACATATGGTATGAATTAATCTTTTTGGTATTTTAATGCACACCTTTGACCACTATTGGTGTATCCCATTACACAGTCCTCTCTATTACCTTTTTATTATGGACATCCTTCATGAAGCGCTGATGCCCAGATTTGTATTTGACTTCTTGGGAGGCTGTGAGGTTTTTTGGAGACATTTTCTGAAATTTTAATCAAATTAAATGGCTCGTCTCAATAGAGACATGAGAGGCTGAAGTTTTTGAATCTTAAACTGGTGTTGGAAACCTGCTAATGGAACCTTAAATGCACTTTGGTTCAAATTACAACCGAGTGTCTGGAACTGTAAACTGTCATCTGTGATCCGTTTAATTCTATTTTTTGCTCTCAAGGTCTGGAAACCACAATCAAATAATCCACATAGTTTTGAATGTTTTCAGCAATGTTTTTTTTTTTTGACTGCCTTTACACTCTGTAATGGATACTTTCTGAATAGAGCTGTTAAACAGAATGTAGATTGTATACAGACAGCAGAAGCATGTTGAATATGATTAGGAATATTGAAGCAATATATTTAAACAGATATCAATAATCTAAATGATTGATTATATGTCCACAGTCAATACACTGCACTATTCAGAGCCTGTGTAACTACTTAACTAAGCTGTACTACCCTCTGCTGGTTAATAACATATACTGCAGCTACACTCTGCACACTAAACCAAACAATAATATTGAAATCAGAGGCTGGTTGATTGCTGACTGAAATTTGTCTTCTTTTAAAGATATATTATTATAGATATAATATTTGTTGTGGATATTTTCACTTACATTATGGTGCATTACTTTTCAGTGTTTTCCAAAGTAAAACATAACTCTGTATTGCAGGGAAGCAGCATGATTAGAGATGTAGTTAAATTGGCGGATTTGTAGTTTTTTAGGGTTTTTAAACATGGATATGAATAAATTCTGCTGGAATCCTGAACTGCACTAGCAACATCTTTTTTAGTTACTAAATAGCTTCTGACCAGCTCTGGTTACAAGCTACTTATAAGCTGTGTGTGTGTGTGTGTGTGTGTGTGTGTGTGTGTGTGTGTGTGTCTAGATATTGAGTGAGAATACCTTTGAGTGTTTTAACTGCGGTGTCATCCAACCCCTTCCTTGTGACCCTCCTATTGGTGGCTAAAATATCCCATGCGGAGCCTTAATGTCGGACCCCACCGTGCTCACATGGCAGCCCTCCTTTTTTTGGGTGCATTTGGATGTGGGATCCTGGGCCTCGTCATGCAAGGCAAAAGGGTCTCTGTTCCTGGGAAGCACTTCCTTACTTACTCAACCACGTTGTTTATGCTACTTCTTGCTGAAAGAAGTTGTGGCCATATAGAAAGTAGTATCATATAGTGCTGAGTGAGTTTCTCATTATGCTGACTCCAGAGATTTCACCTGGTGTCCTCAGAAGGGTTTCTTCAGCCATCATCATTCTCAGTAAGTGTTTTGCTGCAGAGATATGTGCCCACTAGCCATGCATGTTTTCCATGGTAAGAGAAGTTGAGCACCAGCCATTTTCTAACTATGATAAAAGTAGACTGCTTTTTTTGGTGTGAAGGTAATTGTGCATTGTTTTGTTTACAGTGGTGGAAACTAAGTACATTTATTCAAGTACAATTTTTAGGTACTTGTACTTAATAGTATTTCCCTTTTATGTACTTTTAGAGTTCTACTCCACTACATTTCAGCTGGAAATATTGTAGTTTTTACTCCTCTACATTTATTTGACAGCCACTTTTCCTAAACAAAAATTCTACATAAGAAATATATGATGAGCTTACAAAATACAATGCATTGCTAACTATATGCTAACTAGAAAGGGAGAGGACAGCCTGAAAATGATGAACTTAACAATGTATCTGTTCAGAGCAGGAGATTTACCAATCTGTAGTGCACTGGAAGTTAGTACTTATTTAAGTGAGACAGACAATCCTAAACAGCTCTAGTAGGCTTAGTATCAGTGACTTTGGGAAAAGTAAGGGAATTAAACAAGGCACCAGACACCCAGAGAGCATTGAGATTCAAAGAGCACAAATAAGAATAAAAGTGACTTTGAGACGTGTCATTTTTAAGGAAAGGTGGCAAAGTGATTATATCCATCTCACTTGTTGCTACTACTTCTGTTGTTAATCCGTCATCTTTTAAGTTAGTGGCTTTGTGAGTGTTTAAAGAGAGAATGGCAGTACAAGAGGGAGTAATAATTGATCTTCCTTTGATCACATTAAGACAACTCGCAGATATGCATACACATTTGTCGCCTGAGCTCCAATGAATGCTACAAGTCTGATCAGGCTTTCTCTTCCCCTGGGCTTCCTGTTTTTCCGTTGACCTTTACCATGGCAACAACCAGAGCCGTATACCATACAGTATGTCAGCACACACACAAACACATATGCACGGGGTGATAATTGTCTCCGTCACATCTACCTCATTAATGTATGCAACTCCCTCTTAGCATCAGATCCATTGTGATCTGCTTATTCAAGATGAGAACTGCAATTCTAAAATACTTAATTAAGCCTGATCAGAGCAAACAGTCGTCTTGCAGAGAGTTTCTTTGCTTTTAATCGTCAGGATACTTGTTAATTATAATGTGCAGCTTTGCAAGAGGAGCAAATAATTAGCATTAGCTAACAAGCACAGTTCAGGGAAGTGTCAAGGAGGAAGGGGAACAAGACATCTTCCAGGCATCACTTCTTTTCTTCTGTGCTTCTCATTATAGTAGCTCAACAAAAGAAACCAGGGTCTGCCGTGGCAGCCTGAATTGAAGCACGCCAGCCTTCTTAGTTATTGCCTGATGATGGAAAAACACTACTTAATGTTAAGGGTTTGGGGCAAAAGTCAAGTACATTTTTTTATATGGCCCACAATTACAAATTTAGGTAAACGGGAAAAAATGTCACAACAAAGGAAGAAACCTCAGGAAGAGTAACACTAGGTGGACAGACTTGCTGTAAGTACATAAAATAAGTTACATTATTCCACTTTTAAAAACATTAAAACTGTCTAATTATTAGCTTAAAGCACTTTTATTTGCCTGTGTAAAAGGTACTGTCAAGAAGTGTGTAGTTGATTGATTGGTTTAATTGATAGCATATAATATTAAAGCTACAGTGCGGGACTTTTACATATAAATAAACGTCCGTTACATTCAAGCCCTTGCCAAAAGAGTTCATACAATGCTGATTAAGCCAAGGACCACTAGTTAAAATCTCTCTCTATTTGCATTATAGGCCTTCCGGAGTTTTAAAATCTGGTAGTGATGTGTTATATGCCAATGATTGGTTTGCCAGAGCTTATAGGGGAGTGACTGTGGCAACAGCAGCAACTCAGTATGGCAGAGCATATATGTCATATCTTTCTGTCAGAAGGGAGAGTAAAATGCGCACTGCAGGTTAAAGTATTAAAAACAATAGGTTAAAAAGTTTTGTTTTTGGTCACATTATAGCCCATTGTTGTGCTCTGTCCGACAGTCAAAAGGGTTGAACAATGCATCGAAACAATCCCAGGTAGTTATAATCATCACTTTCAGTCCTCGCTGTGGTCCAGGCGGTGCTTTTCCAACTGCAGTTTGAAGCCACAGCTCTGCCTCATGTTGACTGCCCCCATTGCCCCGCCTGCCACACCTTTGCTCCAGACACAGCCAACAGAAATATCACCCGTGGGTGTTCTTGATGTGATATGTGATAAGCGCTCTCCCTGATTCTCCCCGTTAATAGCCGCCCCAGAATGAGGCTCTAACTCCGTCACTCAGTAGAGGGGGGGAGCTGAAGACGAGTCTGTAGTTGGTCAACAAACAAAGTGCTAAACTGAGATTATCATGTGGCCAATGGTGACTTAATTACAGTGGACAATAGGGACTTAAACGCTAATGAATTATATCTTGACCAATCCCAAGTATTTTATACTCAAGAATCCTTTAGCTCATGTTAAATGCGTTTTGATTTCAGATTTGCATGCTTCTGATATTTCTGTTTATTCCACTCTCTTAGATTCTTCTCTGCTGTGGTTTACAGTTGAAATTACTGTGGCTGTCAAAATGTTAAGCAAATTACATTATAAACAGCTTGTTGGCTCTCTGGGGCAAAGATCCTCACATGATGCCTGCTGTTGTCTGTTCATTCAGTAAATACAGCTTCTGTTCCTACACTCTCTGTGACTCTTTATATAAGATGATTGTGATTTTGAGGGCTTGTTTACGGAAATGTATCTTAAAATGACTCCCTATTAATCTCCCACATACACTGAGACTGAAAGACGTTACATACATGTTATTGGTTATAGTCCATGTTTAGACCTGTGCTGAATCCTACAGTAAAAACAGTCCAGAACGACACTAAACATTTTAACGGTATAGGGTGGCTATAAAGGCACACATCTAATAGAGATGAATAGAAAGTAAATGCAGAGTGACAAAGCTACCAATGCATTTTCATGCAGTGAACAGATGGGTGAGGGAAACTAGAAGTTGAAAGGAGAAGGAGAGGGGAAAGTTTAAAGAGACGGAAGGTGAGGTGTGATGGCTACCATGCCTCGGCCACAGCCTCACTGTCTGTGGTACACTCTGTATTGTGCGGTTGTTTGGCTTCTAATAGCATCTACTGCAGTAAAAGCCGATATTCAGTGCCAAGTGGGAGTTTTCTTAGCCTTTAGAATCTTTTATAAATAGAAAGTTTACACATAAAAGTAGAGCGGCAGATCAGCAGCTTAACTTAATTAGGAGTGCAGATGATGGCTGACGTGTGGATTTGTATTTTTATGTGGTTGATTTTTTTTTCGCCTTGTGTCTTTCAGGTCCAGTTGTCCAGCGTCAAAATGGGCCCTCCTCAGAGGAAAGCGAGGCACAGAGGAGGTATGATTTCTAACCGCTGTATAGAAGAGCATACATGAAGCTGTCTTTGCACAGAAAAGCAAACATTAAAACATATATTATTCAAATTCTGAGCATATGGGAGAAGACTTTTATGATACAAACAAAGCTGTCACGGTCATCTTTTTGCTGCTGCTTCTAATCTCTAGAAACCCCTACAAGGACAATGCAGTCATTGATGTTCTGATCATTGATGATAGTGTTATAAACAGAGAGGCAGTCAAACTACGCATTTGGCTTGATTTATTGAAACAGAAAGTGAGAAAAGAGCAGTGACATCCTTCCAATTCATAGGATGATGGAGCAACATCAGATGCACAAGGAGAGGGAGCGACGAACGTCAGGATCAGGTGAGGCTTAAACAGACACACCCACACCCAGCTATAATAACACACACTCTCTTACACACGCTGCTGTGGAGACCAACATGAATTGAAGGCTGAAATAGCGTTTGCTCCTAGCTACGGAAGCATTCAAAAGAAAACTGTCAACAACATAAAAAGTCATAGCACACTCCAACTGTCAATAGACAGCTGCGCTGGGGAGCAAATGGATATTTGCTCTGCTTTGTTTGTTTTTTTATTGAGGGAAATGGTCACTGTTGGGTCAGGCACACGTTACTTTCCCACAGCAAACAGGTGAATTCAACATTAATAAATTCCAGATTTCAGACCTTGATATGGTAGGTTCCTGGAGGCAAACAGGCTTTCCCACTGTCGTTTGTGTTAGTGTTTCCCGCCTTAGTTTTAACCACTACTCCCCAGTTTGTATGACCTTATGCTTTTTTATCCATGCACACATATAAATGTTCAAGTCTGCCCCTTTAATGCACATACAGACTTAAACATCCTCCTTTGTCCCTGCTGTCAGTGGCGATATCAGTGCCCCCCTGTCCCTGCAACATGCTCTACTGCCATCTCTTTCTTCCAGCTACTGTTGGGGGGAAATGCCATATGCTTTCTGACCATGGCTCAGTCATGTTGCATTCTGCTGCTTGTTTTGCTTTTTATGATATTTTGATTCTTTCTTATTTGCTATTGGCTTCTGTTTTTGGATTGCTCCTGATTTTCTCATCTTTACTTGCTTGGTTGCTCAGTTGGTTGCTTTTCATTCTTCTCACGTTTTTCTCTTTTCTTTTTTCCTTTGTTTGTTGCCCTCCTTCGTCCTCCTCCTCGTATGCATCTCCTCTTTCTTTCTGTCCTCTCTCTGTCTTTCTCTCTCTGCCCGTCACAGTCGTTTCCACTCTCCAATATAAAGTCTCCACCCCACCCACCCACCCAGACACTCCTCCTGAGTACAGACAGTACAGGGCTAGCACACTGCCACCCTCCTACGTCCGTGTGGCCTCTTCCTCTCCTCCCTCCTCCGCCTCCTCCTCTCCCTCTCAGGAGAAAGAGGCGGGGGCTGCTAGGGACAAGGCTCAGCTCTCCTCTCAGCTCTCCACCTCACTCGCCTCAGCCTTTTCCCCAGTCCAGGCAGGAGTGACCACCCAGGGCCGACAGGTCCGTCAGATCCCCCTGTCTCCTCCCACAGCAGCCCGCCACCTACACCTTCAACAACAACTGCAGCAACAAGACATCATGCTCCCCCCTAAACACGGCACCTGGTCCGCCTCCCATTTGCAACAAATGTACGCCCAGTTGCCCCCTTCCTCCTCCCCTCCAGTTATGATGGCCATGCCTGTGAAGCAGGGTTTGCCCTCACAGCCCGTCCTGCCGATGGCTCATCCCCTCCCACCCCTGAGCACTAGGATGAAGCCCCCACCTCTTGACCCGAGCTCCATGACAGGCCCTCACCAGTACCCCCAGCACCAGCCCCACCCTCACTCCAACGGCCAGCCAGACAACTCCTACTCTCCTCATTCTCAGCATCTGCCACTCACCCCACAGTACTGCGAGGCCGTCCCCATGCCTCCTCTGATAGGTCAGATAGCCCCAGGCCCCGCCCCTAGTCACCAACCCCAGTACGCATCCACTTTCCACCCTCAGCAGCAACAGCATCTGCAACAACAACAACATCAGCAGTTGTTCTACCAACAGGCCCAGCCCCCCACCACTACTACCTCCTCTTCCTCACCCCCCTCTTACACTGCCATGTCTGATGGGGGCTCGCCCAAGAAGACCCCCTCCCCCGTCCCCCAGCAGGCCCCCATGGTCAGCAGCAGTAAGTATGAGGAGGAGAGAGGAGGAGGTAGTCTCTCAACAGAGGGATGTTACATGTGTACTGTGTGTGTGTGTATGTGTTTGTGTCTCACCCATAGTGCTACACAAGAACCTTAAAAACACAAAATGTACCCGCCCATAATGCCCTTCACACACATAGTCCACCCACACAGGTGTTTTCACATGTTGTCTGATTAGACCTCTTCTTAGTACTGTGAGCACCACACATATAGGGTGAGAAAACTGTTATCAATTTTATATAGATATGGATATCTATGGATATCGCTACCCAGTTAACTTAGTAACAGTAATCTGACTAGAGGTCTAATCAGCCTGTATTTGAAATACGTGTGTGTGTGTGTGTGTGTGTGTGTGTGTGTGTGTGTGTGTGTGTGTGTGTGTGTGCATATAGCCTTTAAACTTTTTGAACAGTCTAGAACTCATTGACACTTTTATACGTAGTTCTCCAATTTCAGCACCATACAGCAGGTAAATAGGACTTTGACTTGTTGTACCACGAAAAGCACAGCTGTTATTAGTAACAATAAAGATGTCATGTGTCAGTGGGTCATGGTAGTGAGCCAGTGTGACCCTGAAACTGAAGCAACTGGATGGAATTCAAACATCATCAATTGTTATTTACACCTGTGCTTTTCTTACAGTGACATGTCAAAATGTCTTCTGTGGAAAAGGCCTACAACTCTAATATAAAAGCAAGAAACCTAGCAGCTATTATGACCCAGTATGTGAATGTTTTTGACCAGCCAAGTCAGCCACCTGACTTCAATCCTGCTCAACAGGTGTTTCGTGTACTGAAAACTATGCTGAGGAAAAATGCCACCATGAATGGTAGCAGTATTCTCACCAGGGGAAATACCATGTGTTTGCCAATGTTTATGGCTCATAAACTTCAGCAAGTCATTAACTCCAAGTGCAAGCAAATATTAAGATTACTTTATTTAAGGTTGTGTTCACTTGTGCAATTACTTTCTGTCCCCTAATATCAGAAGACTGTATTATACAGGGCTACAGTTTCTACACTGTTTATCCCTCCCCAAAGTCGGCACTTTAATCTCAGTCATTGTTTCAGTTGAAATCCAACGTGCTGGAGTACAGAGAAAACACAATAAAAGTGTAGTAAGTAAGTATGACATACATCTCTTTAGATTTACCTCCTGGTAGCTTTAGCTTTCCATTCATTTAATTATGCTCTGGAAGTCATCCCACAAAGACATTAAAACCTACTTGAAGTGATCAAAGTCCACAAAAATCAAAGTTTTGTCACCTTTATTTTGTCATCAAAGTAACATTATTGCCACGTGGTTATGCTGTTTGGGGCTTTTTTAAATTGCTCTTGGTTTTATTGTTTCATGTGGCTGCACCTGTCACTTTCACAAGCAATACTGCAAACGTAGATGTTGCTTGTTTGCAGCCTCTTTCTGTCCTGTGGGATAAGGTGTCACTGTAAGTACAGAAAATGAGAGGAGACAGAGATTTACATTAACATCTCTAAAATAACTAAAAAAGCAACATATTTTAGACCAATGCTGCCTTTGCTCTGCATGATCTGTCTTTAAGGCAGCTCACATTAAATGCAGCCCTGCTTCTTTCCTTCAGAAAATCGGTGTCAGGCCTTCTCATTCATTCAAGGTTAATGTGTGGCCTTAAGCAGTTTGTTGCTTTCAGCTATCTTGGATATTTGAGTTTCCCACCTGCACTTACTGAGCCCCCAAGGAGTTTTCAAAACCATCCCCATTTGCAACTGAATTACCGTAAGACAATAATATGTTGTTGTTGGCTAATTTACCAAATAGCCAATATCCCTCTCTCCATGGATATGACTACTGTAATGTGTAAATCATTTGAAGTTGCTGCACAAGTGCTACCCAGTGGTCAGCAGTCTTGTAGTAAACAGTTGTCAGGTGTTCATTATACAGTGAGAGAGCATATCATTCCTTCAGTCTTCATACAACTTTCCAAGGGGCAAGAAAGGTAAGTCAACCCATACCATCCATTAACCAGTATCTAATTCTGCCCCTCCCAGGCCCCCCTGTCTCTGCAGGTCACCCATCTATGCTTTCTGTGGCGCCTCCTCCAGCTGCAGTTCCAGCACCCATGGCTGGTCCTCCAGCCCCACCACCACCACCAGGTCCACCTCCCCCAATGGCAGTGCCCCCACCCATGCCCCCTCCACTGCCCACTGGTGGAGGGCCTCCTGGGGGCCCACCTGGGGTCCAGCACCAACCTTCAGGACTAGCTGCAGCACTGGCGGGAGCCAAACTACGTAAAGTGCATAGGGTGAGCCTCCATGGTGAAAGCTCAGGAGATGTAGGTCCAGTCCTTCTGGTTTTATTTAATCAGTCGTTAATTGTTGAAGCCATGTCATTGGTGTATTTCGTGGGAAGGAGGTAAGGAGACAAAGAGCACTCTCAGTCGAGAAACCTGCACAGCAAAAAAACTGAAGCCGATTTTAAAATGTGTTTTTCAGGATGAGAGCAGTCCGCCCGGGTCTAGTGGCAAAAGTGACTCCAACCGGTCTAGTGGTGGCAGTGGTGGTGGTGGGGAAGGACTGATGCAGGAGATGAATGCCTTACTAGCTCGCAGGTAAAACAGTCACACACACACCCATCACCTTTACCTTAAATTAATCATATCAGAGGAAAATACCTGTTCTGTCAGCCATTCTGTTCCACTTTACTTGCTGGAAATGGTTATCTCAAAAAGCTCTTGTAGTACTATTTTATCACTGTCTCAATCTTTCTGTACTAGTTACTGAGTTATTTGTATGTCTATGTCACATTTTGCTCATATACATGTTTCCTCCTCTCATAGACGGAAAGCTTCAGAAAAACCTGATGAAGTAAGTCTTTTTTTGGACATTTTTGGAAATATGCAAGATGAGGAGATTGATACACTAAATATGAAGCTGGAGCTGGCAGCAGGTTAGCTTAGCTTAGCATCAAGACTAGAACCTGGGGCAAACTGCTAGCCTGGCTCTGTCCAGGGTTAACACAATCCACCTCCCAGCACATGTAATACTTTATATGTCACTTTTTTTTAAATTGTACAAAAACTGAAGTGTAAAAAATGGCATGTTATGGTTTTACGGGGGTCGTGTGACAGACAGTTACCAAGAATTAGTCCAACACGACATAAAACAACAACTTGCTGCTTTTTATGTTTTTGTATGGATGAAATAAACAAGACATAACCTTTAGAGGTGCGTGTAGGCAGATTGAGTTACTTACAGAGAGCAAAGCTAGCTAATGTTCCCCAATTGCCAGTCTTTGTGCTAAGCTACGCTTATCAGCTATTGGCGGTGCCTTTATATTTAGCATACAGATATGAGATCTCATCTAATTCCTGGCAAGAAAGCAAATAAGTGTATTTCCCAAATGTCATCTAACCTGATTGGGAAACTTATAGTAACACTGAGTGACTATTGTGTAATGATAATTCATTTCTCTCTCTGCTACAGGATGACTCCAGTGGTCGAGGGCCAGGTCATCAGAACTCAACAGGTACAGAACAGCCTTCCCACCAGAATTTTGTACAACACAGCCAGTACATTTGTATCTACAGTTTTTTTTTAAAATTATTATTCTTTATTTTTACAGGCAAGTCATTAAGAACAAGTTCTTATTTACAATGGCGGCCTGACAAGTGGGATAACCACTTAGGGAAAAGGAAATAGGGCTGAAATAAATACAGTACATTAGAAATACGTACAGTTTTAGCAATTACATAAAATACAATTAAAAACACAATACAGTATACAACACAAAAATGGTTTATTTGACATATTTTGTTGAGTGGTTTTATTTTATGCCATGTGTTCTTTCCCCTTCGCCAGATGCTGTGAAGAAGCCATGGGAACGATCCAACTCTGCAGACAAGTCGTCTCTGGTGTCCAGGTCTGTGGATAAGAGGAGGAGTAAAGAGAGTGTGGTCGTCATATGAAATAATAAACCTCTAGCATTAACCACAGGGATTTCAATAATTGTCTAAACGTGGCAAAACTGTGTTTAAGAAAAAACCTGTTTAACAAGATGTAATCCATACATATGTGGTTTGTAGCACTCATCCATTGAAAAAACACTTGGCTCCTCTTATTCAACTCATTTATTATTTTGTGTTGCAGGGTGAGACCCATTGGCAGCACTAGTGAAGCTGACACAGAATTTGACAGGATGAAACAGGTTGGTAAAATGTTCAAATGTGTTTTATTACACATTAAGGGTTTATACTGTCTGGATTAACGATTTCACACACCCTGTGTTTTGTGAACTCACAAGCAGATCTTGTTTTACAGGAAATTTTGGATGAAGTTGTACGCGAGTTGCATAAGGTGAAAGATGAAATCATTAACGGTAAGCAATGCTTGTAAAGTTCATGGCAGTATCCAGGGGCACAAAGCATGTTTAATTCATTTAATCTTTTCCAAACACTACTTTTTACAACTCACTGGCAGGAAAACTTTATTATTTTGAGTAAAATCCTAACATAAAAAGTGTGTTGGTTTTATAATTCATAGCAAGCAGGAAGTTTCACTCCTTAAAATGCCGCGTTCTTTTCTTGCAGCCATCAGACAAGAAATCGGCAGAATCAGTACATCCTAATCTCATCTGAGCAACAGTAGGAGAGCAAGAGGAGGAGCTGGAGGTGGATGGACATGCAGATGCACAGACGTGAGGACCAAGGAATGTTCTCTCAATGTTTCTGTGACCTCGTGATGCCATGATGCAAGTTGCAGAGATGTTGTGCCAACATTTGAGTCTGCTGGACAGCGAAAAAATGGAAGAAAGAAACAGAGAAGAAGCGAGAAGGGGGTTAATGAGATAGAGGAGCAGAAGGAACAGAAGGATGGATAAAGAACGATTAAAAGGACTGATGAACTCAAACAGAGGATGAGAATGTACTAAAAGATGAAAGGATGGACGGACGTTCGTGCTGAGTTTGGTGTTGTGGTCCTCTCTGTGCACCTATAGACTCAGTCAGCCCAGTTTTGCAGCTCTTTGTTCTCTGTTCAGTCCAAGTCTTAAGAAGAAAATATTTTTGTTTTCTAAGTTTTTACTGTTTTATTATTTAAAAACTGTGGTGATAATGATGATGCTGTTGATTACAATGAGTATTTTATTGATATTATAGAAGGAGAAAGGAATCTTGCACAGCATTTATGTCAGCCTTTTATATTTTCTATTATTATTTTGTGGTTAGTTTATCCCTAACTATTTGATGATAACAAGCACAATACGGGCATCATGGTGCTGCAGACTCACCTGCCCCAGACTGGCATATATAAAAAAAAAAACAAACAAAAAAAAAAAGAACAAACTGGCTTTTTATGACCTTGTTCATACTGGTGTTGTGCATCTAACCTTTTCTCTCCAGAGATGTTGGAAAACTTATTAATGTTTGAACCACAATTAGCAACTTCAATAACCTCTTTCCTTCGCATCCAAGGCTTAACACATTACAAATGAGCAATTGATTTTTTGGCAGTTAATCAGATAACACACAATAACAGTCTGCTCTACAACTCCAGTGTGAGCGAGGGATACGCTTCTCTCTACCCTTTCAGATGTGTGAAATCATTGAAACTTGGGGATCATTCAAAAAACAGGCCAACACATGTAAATGTGCCACCTGGTTTTACCTAGATATAAAACAATGTAGTACTATATATTAGTCATCCTATGCTTTGTGAACCTCCCAAGTATGCATGAACCCCCCATCTCTATTAATTCGTTTTTTTATTTGGTTTGAAAAAAAGAAAAACGGTGGTACATTTATTATAGTGGTTTGTTTCCATGAAGATTCCCCTTTCTGTATATGAGAAGTTGAACTTGATAATAATGGTAGCAAAGTGGGGAAAATGAAGGGGGTTGCTCTGGCAATATGCAAATCTTACCTAGGTAAAAATGTGCAGAAGGTGAATGGTAGGCCTATGTGATGGTAGCTAAATGTGTCTTTGCAGGAAGGACTTGTTTGAATATCGGTTGTTGCATTCTATCCACTCTGTCCGCTCTCAACTACGTTCTAATTTAAAATCTGGAAGTAAATTCATTCAAACAAAAACAGACTGCGTCAAATCAAACTGTGTGTGTGTGTGTGTGTGTGTGTGTGTGTGTGTGTGTGTGTTTAAATATCATTAATAAATATATATTAAGCAAAATTAATATTTAAGAAAACTCACATTTGGTTACCACAAAACACATTCAGGAAATGGAAAACACAAACTCAATATTTATAGTTGTAATCTATAATTTTTTTTACTGTTTTCATGTATAGTACAGTCATTTAAATATAAAGAACAAATATCAATCACAACACATAGATTAAGATGTACATACAGGTGGGCAAAATAACAAACACTGTGCAATAGAATGGCTCTGCAGTAATTGCTAATTTGGTCAAGCTTGTAATGTTTTTATTTGTAAGTCAGAAGTGCTGCTTTGCTGTCGTTAGAAGACTTTCATTGAGTGAAGGTCAGGGACAACTTGTGACCACTGCTCCTCTTTGCTAATGCTGTTTTCTTTTTTATGGCCTATTTCAACATGACATTACGTATCGTTTTGTATTTTGTGTTGGATGCACCTGCAGTTCAGGAAGTGAATATCAGGCGTAATTGTTCTCTCTTGTTGCCTGGCACACTCACAACATGAAAATTGTGATTAATATTTGTCACTGGCTGTATTGCTGGTGCACTGGCTGTGACCACCCAAAATTTATACAGGGTGGCGATCTCTAAACTCATGAAGACAGGGGAAAGAAAAAATGGCAAAACTGCATGAGCAAGGGGGACCAGTGGCCTCACTAACACTCTCACTAACACTGACTCAAAGAGTCTTAATGGAATATTTGCTGAGCAACATTAGAGACTCAAACTTGAATTTTCTAAAGAACTACTACTTTTGCACTATACAGTGTTTCTGTTATTTTGTCCACTTCCTGTAGATATAATCAAACATGTTTACAGCACAATGGAGCTGCAAACAAGCAGAATGGGGCGTCACTGAAGAAAAGGCTCCTCTTACTGACAGGTAAGTTTCAATGCTCATTTTCCACCTCAGCACTGTTCTGCATGATCAATGGTGAAATTGTATTGAGTAATCTGAGAGGCTTTCGTAAGCCTTGATTCTCAGAATCGAAATTCTGAGAATCTCAGAAAAGAAATTCTTAAGAAGCCTGACATTCGGCAGGAAAAAGAGAACACAGAGCTAGTGACATCTCCGAGATGATGAGAATGTATGTGACCTGTAACCTATAAAAATGAGGTGTTTTTCTGTTCTGAATACTATTATCATTGTTGTCTCCAGTTGCAGATAAGGAAATATTAATGTAATCATCATTTTCTCCTTCTTGTATCAGTGCCATCCCTGTATCACAGCAAAGGGGCCTTCTGTTTATAGCAGGAATAGAAGCATGAAAACTAACAGGGTGAAGGAAACAACCTAGCTGTAACCGAATTCTCTTCCCATTTCCATTAACTGTATGTATGAAACTGAAATGTGCACATTCATTTGTCCTATAGTCACAGTACAGGACAGGACAGATTTAGGTGAGAACATGTATAACATTTATGTACAATAACAGCCACACACAAAATCTAAACAAGAGAATATAATATTTCATAGTGGTCACTTAGATTATTAACTGACTGAAATTCACATTCCTCTTTAAAGGGAAACATAAAGAGTGAAACATAATTAGTCACAGATTTATTCCTGCTTGCTTAGCTTGTACTCCCGTTTGATTCTGGCATAGGGGCCGATGCTGTCATCAAACACAAAGTCCCATAATACCCGGATCCAGGAAGTGTGTTGAGGCAGGGAGTCATAATACTCTGCTGCGATTTGCTTGACCTACAAATAAGAGAGAATGAAAACTTAAAAAAAAAAATTAAATAGAAGAACGTAAATTGTATGTCAGATATACATATAAACACACATCTAAATTGCAGATGTAAAGTGTCAGAAACATCTCGGCGACTAACTAGTCTAATTCAACATGTCACCTGATTTCTGTCAAAGAAATTACCACAGATTTTCATTATTTCTATTCCAAAGAGACATTTTAAAAATATAATCCTGAAACATGTATCACTTGGTAGTTCAAAAATGGATTCTTCTAATCTAAAAAGGGTAATATTCCCTCTGTTAAGAAAGAAATAGCTCATAAACTAAATCATTTTCAAACAAATTGTATAATTAAAGCAGTTTCTAGCTTGGTATCTCACTGTGAATCACTTCATGCTCCTGTGGTGTTTCAGTTAATCAGTGACTGAGCCTGGCCTTTCATCTGATAAATATTTGCAGTTGATACCTTTCTGTTTGTTTCTGAAAGACAGGAGAGGCCCGTCTTATCTGCCCACACCCGGTGGTGATGTAATGTTGCAACCGTCCTCATTCTCTACCACTCAACCAATAATACTCTCAGAAAAAATGACTCAAGTTCAGAGTTTACCTGTTGGAAATCTAGTCATGATTTATCACAGTAACAGAGTCTCACCTGAGGTAGCTTACTGCCAGGTATGCTCGGGAAGTCGTGGTGCTCCATGTGATACCCAACATTAAAGGTGATCAAGTTCAGTGATCCATAGTAAGAATATGTCTCGTGTCCTTTCAGGAACATGTAATGCTCGGCTATGAAATGTCCAGAGATGGGATGCAGTCCCATACACAGGATAGAACCTGCAATCAGGTAAACAATGGGCTTCAGCCCCCATAGATTGTAGATAATTAAATCTACTGTGAGCTGAACAACTGCGTTCTGGATCTCCAAGCAACACACTGGCTTAGGATTGACCACCAATGGGCGAAGAGCGTAGAATAAGGGCTGGAGAAAAAGCCAGAGCACCTTCCTGGCCGGGGTGCAGAAGAACCATCCCTCAATGTCTGTAGGGATGTCAACATCCAGCTGGTCGCCACCCAGATAGCGATGGTGGTCGATGTGGTACTTCTTGAAGGAGGCAGAGTAAGGCAACCCAATGGGCAGGTTGGCCCACATGGCAAACCAACGGTTCCACTTCGCCAGCTTGTTGCCAAAGGCCACATTGTGAGAGATGTCGTGGATAGCCAGAGTCAGGGAGTGGTTGATGCAGCCTCCGAAGGCGTAGGCCCAGAAGAAGATCCACTTCCAGGAGAGGTCATGGACTAGGTAGCAGGCCAGGAGCTGGGTTAGGACCATGCCTGATACCACCCACTTCAGCTGGGGGTCTGGACCCATTAGAGACTTGATCTCTGGATATTTGGCTGAGGAGAGAAGCAGACAGAAAAAAGGGATGAGAAGGCTGAAGATAATAAAAGAATGCAGTAAAAGCAGAAGAAGGTTAAAGGTTTAGGAAAAGTTTTAGAGTTGAAAAGAGGAGGACAATAAAGGGAACCAACTGACAGTTTTAATTTTTAATTTAAATAATTACGTGGGATCTAAATAAAAGTAAAATATCTGTTATGAATCCAGCAGAGAAAGCCGTTTACCAGGGCTCGTTCAATGTTATTTTCAACTTATGACTGGGTAATACTTTGTCACGATACTGTGTATCCCAAAGAGCACAATCGAGCATGTTGCATGCCCTTCTCCTGAGAAGAGCCTGCTGACAAAGCTATTTTTAATTGGCAGAGGTGTTGTTTTGCTGAGGGACAAGAAACACAAAGGAAGATACAAGGGTGTGATATGCTGGTAACCCCTTATAGCCCACTTAGTGAAACATAGTTGGTGCAAATAAGTCAGAAAGGGTTTCGTCCTATCCATTCAAAATTCAGGATCGCAGGGGTTAAGACTTGTAAATCATGCAAATCTGGCCTGCTTCTCATCACGCCTTCAGCTCAGCTCTATGTAAAGTGGGATCAGTGGTAAATGGTAGGTAAAGAACACCAGAGTATCAGTGACATTATTGGTGCATGTAGCCTAAACCCTCTTTCTTCAGTTAATGTTTAGCCAAGATGACCCAACACACATATTTACACATTCCTTTTTAATATACATAAACAGTATGATTTAAAAATAATCAACCATGAGGCAGCATCACAACCATTAATCATGTGCGTGACTTCACAAGCTACTGCGATGGCAAGAGCTGATGTACTATGAAGTTTATGACATGCAAGCCAAGGCCAGAACTGGGTGCCAAACAACTTGCTATTCAATTCATAAAACTGCTCAATCAATCAAAACATCCCACAAGATAGTCTAAAAAAGTCACATCCCTTTGCCTCTCCGAGCAGGGCATGGGACAATTAAACACAAAACACTTTAATAATTCAGGGCTCAGCAGTGTCAAACAAACCATCACATGCGACCACAAGACTGCTGGACAAAGCCATGATCAAATATACATCAAAAGGTTTAGATGATGACCAAAGATAACTGTTCTAAATACAGATTTGATATCCTTGAATAAAATAAGAAAGGATGACACATACAGTGCACAGTTAAGGCAAATATTATCTTGCATGAATCCACTAAATACAACAAAAGTGGTTTAAGGCGGTTTGTTTGAATGAAGGTTATTCTGTCAGTGATCCTCCCTGACTCTCACAGAAGCCTTTCGCCTCATGCATTGCATTGTGTCTGTGTTTGTCATGAGCAGGGAATGGGTCTTGTTACCTAGCAAGCCCATGGCCATTGTCACCAGCACCTGATATCAATATGCTGTTATTGTCTGACAAGAGAATTCAAGAGAAATTAAGGCACTTTGGTTTACACAAAAATAACTGGCTACAGCCTTCTGTGGAATTTCCAAGCAAAACTAAATACATCTTCTGGTATTTAAGTGTCAGGAGTGATACTGAAACATGCCATTCCTCTCGCTCCATCTCTATCTGCCTATCTACACCTTACCAGCATGGTGACTATGTTAATGTAGGCTTTGCTGCTAATATGCATACGCTCTCTTTCTAAAAAGTAGTGACTTTTACCCACAAAATATCTCAAAAATACTGTAAATTGTCGTGGAAATGGACTAAGCAAATAATAATTAAGTGAAAACCAACCATTGTCTTTGAAGAATTTATTAATAAAAAGAGAGTGACAGAGAAGTACTACAACAGAAAATCAGCTGGTCCAGAGACCTGCTGCCTAGCGGCATTGGGCATTTGGCCCTGAGCAAAGGGATGCATAATCATTTACACAGTCTAGGTTTCTATGTTTTGGGGAACAGAAATCCTCTCCCGGCCTTGAATGAACATTGAAGCAGAGGAGAAGAACAGCAACCTCAACCCTACATGTGGGGACAGACTAATATAATGAGTATACTGATACAGAAAAAGTTAATAATGAGAGAAAAGATTGAGGATGCCAAACTATAACATAAAAGATTAAATGTAAGAGGAAATTTTCTGCCATTACATAAATAATGCAGCCACCCACGTTAAGTCAACTGTGAGAGTAAACAATGTGAGAAACATCCACTCATGTAATCTGCTTTAAATATTAGAGTCATATTTCTTATGGAAATGATACTGTGTTTATCTCTGACAACCATCTGCACTGAATTACAAGGTATGTAAAATATTTACCTTAAAAAGCTGCAGTTTCAAAGAGATACTTTTTCTACGTGTAGCCTACTTACAAAAAGGTGGTGTAACTTCCATTACCTAAGGGAATTATTCACATTTGTGTTTATCTTTCAGTTTTTCCCCTCCATCCACTGTGGACTGATAGCTCGTTAAGCAGCGGCTAATAAACAGGTTTAACCGGCTGCGATTTTAAATGGGTTGCGGTGAGAGAGGGAAAAAAAACTTCAACTTAATACACAAACTAACCCTACATTCAATTCAGCAGATTCCTCAGCGTTGACAAAGTCTTATTAATTTCTTCCCCTAATTTCTTACCCAGAATTTCTTTTCTTCTTGAAGTGTGCGGCTGATCATTGTAGACCCATTCAAAATCGTGTCTTCCACCTGTTTTACCCATGGCTATCCTTTCTCTGGACAAGGCAACCGGCTCTGTGGCGTTAAGTGTGTCATCAAACCTTCACAGCGTCGGGGCACACCCACTGTCACAGGTTGCAGGCTGAAAGTGTAAGGTGTGATCACAAGCTCCTCCCCGAGGAGCTGAAGGAGGGATTAAAGTTGGCTGTGCACCTGCTGACTATGCTCTCCACCTTCATTACGTTCTCTCGCGAAAAATGACAGTAGTAGCCTAATGATATTAATGATATTAGGCTACAATATATTTAGAGGGATAAAATGCAGTAGGGCCTAAATACAGTCCAGACAAGTTGCTCTATTTCTTGACAGGACCACCTTTGTTGTTAGGTTGTTCGTCCCCATCCCATGAACATGTTTGTGTTTATTTTATATTTTCACAGTTTTCAGTTTAGATTTCTTCCTGAATACACTGTAAGCACAAGACATGTAGCCTATTGCTAAGTTGACATACATTTATTTTGACCATTGATTAGTCATTTTTCAAGCAAAAATACAAAGCAATTGTTTGTTCCAGCTTCTTAAATTTGAGAATCTGCTGCTTTTCTCCATTTTATATTATAAATTGGGTTTTGGACTATTGCTCATACACAACCAGCTATCTGAATGCGTGACCTTGGCCTCTGGGAAATGTTACTTTAATTTCTAAATTTCATGGACCAATAATTAACCAAATAATCAAACAAAAAAGACAACATATTGTTCAGTAATGAAAATTATTATGCAAGCTTAATTTGCAACTACATGTTAAATTGTACAAATGAGTACAAAGCTGAGGTGTTGGCCAAGAGTCATATATAGGCTGATGGTTTGTCCTCAGACACACATACACACACACACCCCTCAAAAGTATTGGAACGGTAAGGCAAATTCCTTTGTTTTTGTTATTCACTGAAGACATTTGGGTTTAAGATCAAAAGATGAGTATGAGACAGTTCAGAATTTCAGCTTTTATTTCCTGGTAGATGTGTTAAACAACTAAGGACATACCACCGTTTGTATTAGACCACAGCATTCTTAGGTGAGCAAAAGTAATGGAGCAAAGAATCTTAAAGTAAATAACATTTAACATTTGGTGGTATAACCCTTGCTTGCAATAACTGCCTCAAGCCTGCGACCCACTGACATCGCCAAACTGTTGCATTCTTCATTTGTGATGCTATTCCAGGCTTTTACCGCAGCTTCTTTTAGTTCTTGTTTGTTTCGGGGAGTTTCTCCCTTCAGTCTCCTCTTAAGGAGGTGAAATGCATGCTCTATTGGGTTAAGGTCAGGTGATTGACTTGGCCAGTCTAAAACCTTCAATTTTTTCCTCCTGATGAAGTCCTTTGGTTTGTTGGCAGTGTGCTTTGGGTCATTGTCCTGCTGCATGATAAACGTCCACCCGATTAGTTTCAATGCATTTCTCTGTAAATTGGCAGACAAAATGTTTCTGTACACTTCTGAATTCATTCTGCTGCTACCATCATCAGTTAAATCATCAATAAATATTAATGAGCCTGTTCCAGAAGCAGCCATGCACGCCCAAGCCATGACATTACCTCCACCATGCTTCACAGATGAGCTTGTATGCTTCGGATCATAAGCGGTTCCTTTCTTTCTCCACATTTTGGCCTGGAGATTAATCTTGGTCTCATCGGTCCATAAGATTGTGTTCCAGAACTTTTGGAGGGGACTGTATATATATGGGCCTACATATATATGACACTTTTATGGCACTTCTGTCAATACTGTACATATCTACACTCCTTATATTTAGGCTATGTGTAAATTTGGATCTATTCCATTTGACCATTTCTGTCAATTATGTAAAATACTGTGCATATCACACTCTCTTATATTTAGATTTTTAGATATTTTATGATGCGTAAAGCGACCAACTGTTTCAAAGAATTTCTGATTCTGATATTAAATTGAAGCATTCTTCTTCTTCTTCTTTAGGGTTTAATGGCGGTTGGCAAACCAGTTTAACGGTGCATTACCGCCAAATTGAAGCATTCATGTTTGATGGAACTTTTTGCTGACTTTCCAAGTCACGCGAGACTTCAAAACTGGAGCATTGTGGCGACGAGAGTACATGAGTGTAGAGTTGTTGTCGGAGAGGGAGGAGGAAGGCTGAGTGTAGACAGGAGGGAAAGAGAGAGTGTAAAAAAAATAAAATAACAAGCATACAAGTAGGAGGAAATACAAAATTAATCATGGCATCAGGGGACACCCTGTACATAGAAACGGACGGGTCAGAAATGCCAGCCGAAATAGTAGAACTGCACGAAATCGAAGTAGAGACAATCGAGACAACAGTTGTTGGAGACGACGGTGAACACCAGCCTATGATCGCCTTACAGCCTCTTGACACGGATGATCCAAACTCGATTCACCCGCACCAAGAGGTGATTCTGGTGCAAACGAGAGAAGAGGTGGTGGGCGAGGATGACTCTGAACTGCACACGGACGACGGTTATGAGGATCAAATCCTCATTCCGGTGCCCGCCGTGGAGGAGGACTATATCGAACAGACTCTCGTTACTGTGGCCGGGAAAAGCTCGTCGACAGGCCGGATGAGGAAGGCTGGAAGCGGAAAGAAAGCGGGCAAAAAGAGCTACCTGAGCGGGGGAGAAATGGGCAGAAAATGGGAACAGAAGCAGGTCCAGATAAAGACTTTGGAGGGGGAGTTTTCTGTTACTATGTGGGCATCAGGTGAGTTCAGAGTCCTGAGTGAATTCCTGCAAGCTGGTGCCTCGCTTTGTTCTCAGCATGTGTACCGTGTGACCGGGCCCAGTTGGGGCCTTGTCCTCCGCTAAAGTAGGAATTATTTCCCTACTCGGAGCCAATTAAACTTCATTTGAAATGTTTTTGTTTTTATGGGAAGCCATGTTTTATGTGTCGATGGGCGCCGCCATATTTCCCCGGTGTAGAAAGTATGGCGGCCCGAAAAAATGGCGTTTATTTGGCCGACGAAGATGGCGGCGAGAGTGGGAGCGAGTGCAGCTGGCTCCGCTAGGCCGCTGTGGCGCAGTTCAGTTCAACTGTTACGGCGGTGGTGCATTCAGGAACCCCTCATACTTTACATGTCCGAGACTTTAAACACTCCTTATATGATCATATGGGTTCAATTTCCTGTGTCCAAAAGTAGTTCCCTTGCTCGCTAATGCTCTATCCTAGTGGCTATTTTGTGGTTTAAAAGGTGACAGGGCATTTCCATTGTCAAATTGGTAAATGATATTTCAAAGTGTAACGTTAGCGTAGGTCTTTCGCTTAATGAACAGAATTAAAAGCTAGTTATTTCTAGGTAGATTGTAAAATATTAAACCCAACCCTTATATTACGCCATAATAAGAAGTCGTAAAATCTGTTGTGTCTTTTATTCTTTTCCACCATTTGTTAAAAAAAGGTACCATGACACTGTGGCTATGTGTACAAAGTAAATGTTTTGAATGCACACTACGTTTTTCTATTATTAGTAACATTAGAGAGTGTCAGGAAATATGGGGAAGTGGGGGATAAATGTTTAGCTCTGAATGGCTTCAATCAATTTGTACCACATGTTCTGGCACTGTTTTAATTATCAACACATCTGTCCCTCTCCTTCAGATGACAAGAAGGACATAGACCATGAGGAGCAAATCTCTGGTGAAAACTCTCCTCCAGATTATTCTGAATACATGACAGGGAAGAAGCTTCCTCCTGGAGGCATACCAGGCATTGACCTCTCGGACCCCAAACAGCTGGCCGAGTTTGCAAGGTAAGTGTTCACCCAAACAAAATGATTGTGAGTCAAAAGCAGTGGGCCGGAATAAACCATTTTTTAAGAGAGAAATTGGTTTGCTTCACTAAAGGCCAGTTAAAGGAACATTGTTAAATTCTGTGATTGTCCAAAAGTGAATATATATATATGCTATATATATATATATAATATATATAATATATATATAAATAGTTAAACCAACACATTGCATTGCACACACAGTATGGAATGTAATATGGAATCAAATATCTGTGGCCATGCTGGACCAAAAGTGTTTTTTCTTTTCAAATGTTTGTGTTTCTAGGAGTGTAGATATTTGTGTGAACATTCTATAATGGTGTGACCACTTATTTCTGTTGCAGAATGAAGCCAAGGAAAGTAAAAGAAGACGATGCACCCAGGACGATAGCTTGTCCACACAAAGTGAGTGCAGTGTTCTCTTTATTACACCCGTTTACATTACATTTATTCATTTAGCTGGCGCTTTTATAAAAAAGCTTCTAGTTGGCAACTAGAGCTTCATTTATACACATTCCTCAGGGTATTGCAGTGGGGAATTGAACCTTGGTTTCCCACACCAAAGGCATGTCTTATCCGCTGAACCAACACCACCCATAGTTTATACATGGCTGTGCAATGGATGCAGGTTCAGTGCATGAACAGAAGCTTACTCACTTGTACTGTATGTCTTTATTATTGACATGTCCTTTACTGAGAACATGCATGTATTCATTACAGTGGTATAAGGAACATTTAAGCACTCTGAGCTGATATGATTCAGTTGCTAAAGCTACACTGTCAAGTGCATATGGCTAATGGAGTAATAAGCTAAATGTTTCTCTCCCGCTAAGGGATGTACCAAGATGTTCAGGGACAACTCAGCAATGAGAAAGCACTTGCATACCCACGGGCCTCGTGTGCACGTCTGTGCAGAATGTGGCAAAGCCTTCGTCGAGAGCTCAAAACTGAAGAGGCATCAACTCGTACACACAGGAGAGAAACCTTTCCAGGTGAGTTCCTTCACTTTATTTTCCTTCTACAGAAAGTTGCATAATTTTACTTTGTTTTATTAGTAGTAGGAAAAGAAAATGTTGGCATAGAAGCCTTGCCCAACTAGCTTTGTGTCAGAGCAGTTGAATACAAACCTTGTATTGTCATCTGAAATACCTGCTGTTGACAGATGATCAGTTATCTGTGAGCCATGTAGCGGTGTTAACTTAATTTCTCATCTCCAGTGCACATTTGAGGGCTGTGGAAAGCGGTTCTCTCTGGACTTTAACTTGCGCACACATGTGCGTATTCACACTGGAGACCGCCCGTATGTGTGCCCCTTTGATGGCTGCAACAAAAAATTTGCCCAGTCAACCAACCTGAAGTCTCACATCCTCACACACGCCAAAGCCAAAAACAACCAGTGAATCAGCCCTAAACCCGGCTAACGACAACGACGTGAGCATACACTGGAGGACTCGAACCTGAATCGCCGCTCCTTGACAAACTACTGTCCCGTGGCTTGCTTTGTTGTGAGATAAGAAGTCCCCTTTGTATCATCTCTAGATAAAAGGTTTAAACAGAAATGACCTTTTCTCACACTTTTTGATATACATGTGGAGGTTTGAACAATGAACTCGTGACAACCCCGCCCCCTCAGGCATCCTACCCTACTTTGGCGCTACCTGGATGGAACAATTTACCAATTTTCTTCTTGTGAAGATGTTAGTTAATGGATCCGCGCCTAAACTTATTTATACCTTAATACAGCCAGTTTAAAAGTTTTTGCAATAGATGTAAAATTTGCATCGATCCTCCGCAATGACAATTTTGTATTCCCCCCCCCCAAGTGTGCATATTGTACACTGTTTGACATAAGCTCTGTGGTAATATGTAGTAAGATTGTCCCTGTAGCTCTTGAAAGGTTTCTCAGTTTGTTTTACCTCCCCCTTTCCTCTTCATGGGAATGTGTTTCGAGGGGGGAGTTTGGTGGTCTTTGCATATTTTCATTTTGTACATCAGAATCATGTAGATAATAGCCATGTGATTTTCAATTATCACTGATTAAAATGTTTTTTTCCCCCCCCCTTGCACCACCAATAAAGTGTCATTTGTCCTCCCACAATTAAAACGCAACATAATATAATTCTAGTGTTTTTCTACAATTAGCTGTTTTAGTAGCACATGTAATTTAGAGACATACTGGAGCAACTCAGGTCATTTAGATATGAGAGATGGGGAAGTTCTTATTCAGAAATGTTCTATAACATTTTAAACAAATCTGAACCTGGTACCAATCAAATGCTCAGACACAGATGAAAAGGACCTAGTATCTGGCTGTTCTCTTCAAGCTCATAGCATCTTTAAAAACATCTTACAGCTGGTAAGTGCAACAGTGATTTCAACACATGGTCAACTCATTGACATAACACCCCCCCCCCGAGGGAACTGCAAAATTAGCATTGAAAATTAAAGGTCTGATTCCAAGTCATTTGAAAGATACTGTTTTTAGTAACAATTTCAGGAATGAAACTGTTTCTAAGACACTGCTGCATCCAGAGCAGCTTTCTCACACTTGACTGAAGATAATCCTGAACAATCAGACATGTCCATGTAAATCTTTAATAAATTCAGGCAGTTCTCACATTAATACATCTGACTTGAGGATTCACATAGTTGAAAGGTGCAACAATGCTGGTGGGTAGAATTGCTTAATCATTTAACCCACACATTACAGTGCATGTGGTTAGTTCAAAGTCTTGTTCATCTTAGGCCACATACCGTGTTCCCATTTTATTACAGATACATGAGTTACAGTTAATGCAGTACATTTGTTAAATGAATTGCCTTGTACCTAGTTCATCCCTGCAGAGTAGTATGGCAAAACAAAGCAGTTTTATTACAAACCAAACCTGTATCTAGTTACATGCTAAATTGCCTTGATCTGGTGAAATTACTGAATCCAGTACATTAGATTGACTACATACATTCGTTGATTGGTGTATGTATTTCAAATATGTTTGTTATTTATGCATAGCAACCATTGCTGTGTATGTAGTGGTATGAATTTAAGGCGTGAGATTACTGTTAACACATCTGCCTGCAAATTTGTTTCACAGAGATATCTAGGTCAGATAAAGACATTCCTGAAGACCATAACAAATGCAAATGAACTGAAGGAAACAAGAGGCATAAATCTGTGTAGTCATTTTCCCTCTATTTCACCGTCCTGCCTTTGGTATCAGGTACCTGGTCAAAAGTTTGGACGTGTGTATATGGTACCTGCTCGCAGAGCAGATGCTGTCCTGATGGTTTAACTTTCAGAAACTGCCGGTTTTCACTCTGCCAGCAAGACAGCCAGAAGTTCAGGGTAGTTTGGTGTCCCCCAGCCTGTAACAGGGTCCCATGATTGTGCAGCACAGAAACCTTTTCCCTGAGCCTGTTCATCCACACATCCCAGGTGACAGCCTTCAGTCACCTGGACAAAAGGAGGCATAGCATGCCATTTTTCAACATAATTCCTTACTAAACGTACTGCTTTCGCTTACATTTATCCAAAGCAACTTACAATTGCTATACATCTCAGGTTGCACGCCTCTGGAACAACTAGGGGGGAATTTAACCCAGGTCTCACACCAAATTCATCTCTTATCCACAGTTGAATTACCACCCACTTACATTAATTATCTTGTGTTTCTCAAAAAGGAGAAGAAAAAAAAAAAAAAAAAAAAAAAGTGTGGCAATACTGTACTTTACTTTTCTGATGTCAACAAAAACTGAACATTTACTTTACTTACATCAAATAGGGCTTGTCCTTTGAGCTTGTAGAGGCGGGGGTTGAGGAAGCCTAGGGTGGGCAGGCCCTTTAGCAGCCGCTGATCATTGATGAGAGACAGCATGCCTCCTACCACAGGGGTTGACGCCTGGGAGGGAGATCAATTGATGAGAGGTGCGATAAATCCTTATGGCAGTTTCTACCTGTTCTGTCACAGAGTTTTCTCTATTCAACAAAAGTATGGTCAAGTTTGAAGTATTTTACCGAGGTCCCAGAAACCCAGGGGATGGGCACCCTGTTCATGACCACCCAGTAGTTATCAGACAGGGCAGCCATGTCTGGATAAGCCCTGCCGCTGGTATTGAAATATGACTGAGGAGGGAGGGCTGCTTTCACAGTCTTCAGATACGCATCCACTGCACTGACCTATAAGAACACAAAAACACAGCATCAATGACACTGTCTGCACTAATTGAGCATTTAAGAGCTGATGACCAAAGAATACTACCTGGTAGTCAGGCATCTTAAAGACGTTACTAAAGCCTCCTCCACTGATGTAATCCGTTACTTCATACGTGACCTTAAATGGGTTCTTGAATGATGTTCCTCCTACTGTAGTCACATATGGGCTGGGAACAAGAAGACGGCCATGGAGCGTTAAATGTTCAGTGCTTTTCCTAAAGCTTTTGAGAACATGAAATGTTTGAGTTTGTTTAGCGAATAGACCCGCCTTGCACTGGAATGCTACAGTACATACAAGAGGAGGGTTGGCTGGACTGAATCAACCTTTTGCAAAACATACTGTGGGTTCAATTCTTTGTTCAGCTTTTAACTTTCTGTGTTTCAAAAACAGAACAGTATATTCCACGCATGAGACAAATTCCCCCTCAGGAAGGAACTGGTTTACTTTCAGAAATGTTTTACCTTGAGGCAGGAAAACTGGGCCTGAAGGAGTTTTGTTCTTTACCCAACTGTCTGCAGCCTGCACCACTGTCACCTGAACATGATAACAGATAAAAGAACGAAACAATAGATGCTTGTTAAAACATGATCAGCGTCACTAAAGACGAAGAAAGTTATCATGCAGCATATCCTCCTGACAGCTGGCCTTTCCAGTATTGTTGTAAGTTGTGGACAAAGCCACGGTCCAAAAAAGGTGTAAACAGGTTTTTCCTGGAGCCCCCAGGCCATCACGGGTGTTGATTTAAAACAAAAGCGGTGTCTTTATGTTTGAGTTGTATAATGATCCAACAGTAAGAATGGAGCTTAGTCACAGTCAGTTGACACTTTGCCAAAAAGACCAAGGCTGTCTAATTCTTGTTAAGTCATCAGCTCTCTCAAATTATTACAAAAAGCACAGCTTACAGTTACCCATTGTTGAAGTATTGTCTTTCGTGTACTGCACCACTGAAAGAGGAATTTGTCATTTACTGGCCAGACTAGATGAAGAACTAAAATGAAAAACTAAACCAGACACAAGTGAGAAGTCAAACTTCATGTAAGAGGAGTGACAAGATAACCGGCTGAAACACTTGTGTAGACAAAGGAAGTCATATTTTGCTGATGTAGTAAAGATTAGGAGCGGTTTGTGTTCTTGAATGTCTGTGTGCTACCAGTACAAGCCATGTGGACAGATTCTGCATGTGTCCTCCTTACTGACCAGAAGCAAAGAGCATAGAGATTCCCCTAACACCAGCCTTCATAAACTCGGTGTTGATGCGCATCATGTACGCAGCAGAGAGGCTGTCTTCATCGTCTCCGTAGCTGATCGTGTGAACCCAGGGCAGGTCAGTCATGTTGCTGAGCAGAACCATCCACTGGAGGAAAGGCTCCTGGGACTCGTGACGCCCTGAAGGGCAATGAGGAAAAGGTGCAAGTTTTGATATTAAGGTTCGTGTGTTCTTTAACAAGCCCAAAAATTACAATGTCTGAAGATGGCAATACTGAGACAAGTCAGAAGGCCTTTATAATTTTCCTCCTTTCAGCTCTCCACACACACACGCACACACGACGGAAAGCCTCACCCTCTCATACAGACCTGGATTGGTGAAGACCCATGTGGAGATGTTTGCCCCTGTGCTCATGATGTACTCTATATCCAGACTGGCCTCTATACCAGCCTTCCCTCCTCCCTGAGTGCCTACAACCCGGTCCACCTGAGAGAGATGCTGAAAGCCTCTGCCGTATATGCTCATAAACTCAGCCAGGTCTGCAGGGCTGTAGTACTGCTCCAAGAACTAAATGAGTGAAAAAAAAATTACACCAAGTTGGGTGGGATTATACGGTCTCAGCACAGTTTTGCGTTTCATTGTGAGCATATTCCGAGATGGCCACACCTGAGCACAGCCTGGCTGTTATTCTGTGCTCTTCCCACATCAGCTGCAGTCAGGTTATAGCGAGCCCTCAAGACGGCGGGAGTCACTCCCAGGTGAAACCCTGCCCTCTTCCCTTTAGAAGAGGCTTTGCTGAGGTCCTGCTCTTCAGGAGGGAGGCGGTGAAGTCCTCCAACTGTGGAAGTGCCACAATAAAAAAATAATAAAATATAGTAATCCATTAAGTAATGTTCGTACCAATCCTGACTTAAATATGCAGCAGGCACAAATGACAAGAATCACGGATGGCATTTGACAACTATTCGAATGGCTCTCACCGAAGTCCAGATGCGGGTGAACATCATCATGAACAGAGTACGGAGCTGAAGACCTCACCAGAGACTGCCCGCCTCTCTTGTAACGGTGGAACTTACTGCCAGGAAGCAGTGTCTCTGCAACCCTAATACACAAAAAAAAAAAGATATGCAACATATACAATTCTAGGCATCAGTTTTAAAGAAACTCAAATACCACCAGTAAGTAAAACTGTTATTGGGGTTTAGGGTAAGTAACAAGCATCTGTTTTGAGATCCAATGACCTTGACCTAGATTTATGAATTTCAAAAGCCTGCAGCTCAGTTTGATTTTAACCAATAACCACATAAAGAGGAACCGCCTCACAAGATAAGAGCATGGTCTTTGCAAGGTTTACATGTAAAAAGGGAACTTGAGCAGAAAAGGCGCTTTTCTGTGTCAAGAGCAAGTAAAGTTACTGTTGAGTAGCAAGCAGAACAAATGTTGCTTTAAAAAGATATGCTTACTCTGCAGTCATGGTGCACTGTAAAAAGTCCTGAGTGCTAACAGTGAGGCAGTTTGTAATCCCGTGACACTGCAGCCAGTGATTCACCGTCTTCTGGGTCAGTTCAGATGGACGTACGAGGGAGGCTACTTCCTCCAATGTGAGGTGTTTACCTGTGGAGGACAACAAGCCTTTCACTCTGTAGTATAGAGAAAGGTCAAAGCTGAGAAAATGTTTTTGACCTGTAAATTAAGGCTGTTTTTAAGTCAGAGCAACTAATTTCATACCCAGGTTATATGCTGCAAAGGACAGGAGTAGAATAAATGGGACACAAACTCCACTGAGCATCTGTATGCTCGATCTGTAGTTTTAGGGTTACTTGAGGACAACTGTCCATTATTAGACAGAGCCTTACCATATTGCGGAGAGTCAGGGTCAGACACCAGTCTGAGTGTTTCCTCCAGCAGGTCAACGTTTTGCTGCTTCAGGGCAAACGTCAGTGCCAGCTCCTGGCCAGGGTCGACCCGACCCACAGTAGTCCAGTCACCTGATATCCTAAAGGAAAGAGAAAAAGGTTTCATTCAACCTTTACCCAAATGTATAGCTTACCAACCAACCCAATGAATATCAAGTATATTGATTACTTTGCTGTGATTCTACAGGTAACTGAACTTTTATCTAAAAGGTTTGGAAACATTTAGCAGTAGTTTAGATCATTCTGTCCTGCAGTTCATGAGATCTTTACAAGGTTTTCAGAAAGTCCAAAAAACAGCCCCACATTAATGGCACACATCACAGGCCCTAAAGACCAAAACTGTAAAACATCCAAACCTGCAGCACCCGATTTTAGGAACAAGTCACTAAAGTATTAGTTCCTTCAAACCAATTTACATACTATGCGCAGTAGTTCACCGGACAGTTTCCAGTATTCTGATAGGTGTTTACTGCACATTTTGGGCTGTCAAGACTGTGCTTTATCTAGTAAAAAAGGCTTGACTTAACCCTAAAAAGGGTTTAAACAGGAGATATGCAAACAAGGCTTTTTAAAATAAATAAATAAAAATTATAGAGAAATCAGATAATGGCTCTTAAAGTGGATTTGCTCACAAGACATCTTGGTCATATTCCAGATATCCACTCCAGACCAACGAACTGAATAACAAAGGGATGGAGAAGGTCAGCCTGGTGGAAGGAGAAACGAAACATTACAGAAATAAATGCACACATGCGGGGGGTTTATACACAGATAAATATAACTAGGAAATGCTTAAAAACACGTCCTTCAGTGTGTCAACTATCTCAGGGTTACAACAAAACAGTAGTTTTACAATTAGGTCAAATTAAACGTGTTTCTCAACACGTACATACACACATATAAAACGGCTCACTAACTCTACATTTCTAACAAAAACACACGTTGTTATTTGCAGTATGTGAACACTTTAACATGCTGTTAGCTGGCAGCCATCTAGGTCAACACAAACGGTAACCACAAAGAATACACGAGGTGCCCTTCATTACAAGTCGCGTTAAAAATAGTTATCTGACGCCTTTCTTTCCCATTTAGCTCTATAAAAATACACAACTTTGAACTTATTTAGAGCACTCACAGCGTATTCATCGTGTTCTCTGGTTGCACAGTTGCCTCAACTTAGGTGTTGTGCCTGCTGGCGGCTTTAGAGACGCAGCGGTCACGTGACACGGCTTCACGTGATTTTGACTTTCACGTGATTCCCCCCCCCCCAACGCTGGAGCAGTACCTGGATCATTTTTGCTCAGGAAACATTCAACCACGTTTCGGTTAAAAAATAAAACTAAAAAAACATTTTAATGCAACATAACGTGAGTATCCCCTGTACCCTCACTGCCATGTTTGGTTTTATTGGTCCAGATCCACAGCTCGTGCTTTATATTGTGTTCCACCTGTGATGACCCACAACGAATAACAACACAGATCAGATCCCACTCCCACAACTCAGTGGTCCAACCAGATATCCTGCAGAAACCCCAAAGACCAGGGCAAAAGATGAAGTCATGGTCTCTGTAGATAGAAGTCTCATACTACCCTTGACCTCATAAGGCATGACTGTATTGCTGCTCCCTAGTGGTGGAAACAGTGTAGGGCACAGTTGACAAAGAGATGGTTGCTTCTGAAAACCTCAACTTAATTAATTTCGAGGACACACTTTCCTGATACCTCTTAAAATGTGTAAAAACGCTCTAAAAACAAAAACAGAGATACCTTTAGGGACAAGAACACAAGGAATGAAAGAAAGATTTGGATAAGGAAGGTTAAAGTAAATTAAGTCTCTAATATCATTTGACCCAAGATCAGTTGTTCCCAACCTGGGAATCAAGATCCCAATTCTGTGGGGTCTCAAGGTGATTAAATGGGTGGGGTGGGGGAATAATAATTCACAATATTACATCTATTTCCCTCTCTTTTCTCACATTTCTAACCTGTTTAGACCTCCAAGAATCATTCAAACAAAACCATCTAAGAAGGGGGAAAAAATCCTCTTCAGTCATCATTCATGTCTGCCGTACCATAACTTGTGATGATACATCTTGCTTCATTTTGAGGAGTCACAACAAAAACGTTTGGGAATCACTTCAGTAGATAATTGCTCCCTCTTAATACTGTATATAATATACACAAATAAAACTATATAACTAAGAATTAAAGAATGTTTATTAATAGGATGGTTACAACTGACTCTTGGGACTAAAACTTTAAACAAAAACCATTGTTACAGGGACATACTGGAAGACGGCAGCACAAGTCTGTTTTTGACAGCATATTAAAATAGTAAAACTATTTCTAACTATTAAACTTAACTTTACAAAACGCCACACTGTCTTAAAACACAATTGCATGTACACATTCCACTGTGGTTTAAGTTTAAAAGCTTCAATTTATATCCTATTTAAATCATATCCTCAGTTTGTTTCACACTGATGAGTTCAACTCCTTTTCAACTATTCTATTGTTCACATTTGAGGAGTTAACACAAGGCAAATATCACATCTCTCCTCTGTTCCATTGATTTTAATTTATGTGAGTCATTTTAGAATAATAATAATAAAAAAATGATATAATGTTTCAACTCCAATCACTCGTTCTCTGAGAAGTAAAAATCTTCCTCCTCGTCGCTTTCAGACAGCGCTCCATTGTTTCCCGGGAACATCTCCCAAACAACAAAGGTATCATTTTCTAGTGAAAAAGGGAAAGAAACGGATTGTGTTAAGCAACAAGACTCGTGTTACAAAAGAAATGTTGCAATATCTCTGTTCAGCTTTCAGTTACAGCTTTTGAAACGTGTCCGATTCATTTCTGAAAATATAAATAATGAACATCAAGTTAAACTGCTCTAACAGTGTCCATAAAATAAAAGCATTACACTGATTTTGTTTTGTATTATAAAGTGTTTCTGTTATTTTGTCCCTCTACTCCACTACTAAGACATAAACTCATGACCATAACATTTCTCAGGAAACCTACCCGTGTTACCACATCTTCTCATCGTTCGTTTAACTGATGGCGTGGGTGTGAAGCTCTGAAAGAAACAAAGAAGGAAATTATTTTACCAATACAAAATAATAATCCATGTGCCTCAGAATTAAAAAAAAATCTTGTGAATTTGTACCTTTACAGGAGGAGCCTGTTTGTAGACATTAAACTGACTTTTTTTCATCCTCTTCTGGAGTTGATAGACGTACTTGTCGTTGTTGTTACTTTTAAAATAAAGAAAGAGCCAAGTTAAGTTATCTTACTGCAGTCAACTCTTATGAGCTGGAATGCAGACTTCAGCGTTATTCACCTGTTTGGGGAGCCCATCATGCCAGGAGTGATATGCAGACACTGAGGTGTCTTTACTTCGGGGAAGCCTGTTGACATGGGGGTCAGGGGCTCCAGGTCTGACAATGTGGAGTCATGGTCATCACTCGGACACATGGAGGGCATCTATCCATCAAGACAGACACAAGGTGAACACCAATCACTCACCCTGAATAGTTTTGTGATCACAAAATGGAGGCTCCTTATAAAACCTCATATTTCTTGCATTATTTACCGAACCAGAAAGAAACAAACCTCAAACCGTTTATTCTGCATGTACGCAGTGCTGAAAACGTCATCAACATCTTCTCTGGGCATGGCCTCCAGGAACTGACGCACCTGCTGCTTTCTCTTTAAGGTTCCCACCCGGGCAGATATCACAGGATGATCTGTAACTAGTCACATTATAGCTTATCAACCTTCTGCCGTTAACCATGTCCATTCATTTGCAGAACGTAAATTTATGGGGTGGTGATGGCGCATAGATAAGATGCTTGCCTTTGGTGTGGGAGACCTGGGTTCGATTCCCACTGTGAGAAATCCACCATTGTGTCCCTGAACAAGACACTTAACCCCTAGTTGCTCCAAAGGCGTGCGACCTCTGACATGTATAGCAATTGTAAGTCGCTTTGGATAGAAGCATCAGCTAAATGAATTAAAATGTAAACTACCAATCCACTGAAATATTTATTATATTATTCTCAATCTTATCAAGCTCCAGACCTTTCAATAATATCACACAAAAATTAAAGGGGAACAATTTTACACATCCCAGTCTGTCTACAGGTAATAGGGAGTACTGCTGCATATGTTAAAAACCATCTTAGCTTGAGGTTCGAGGCTATGATAGCCGCTACTAGCGTAACACACCGAATCTCTGACCGGAATGTTGATGGTTGAGTTGCATTGTGGGTAATGTAGGCACCAGGTCTTGAGAAGGAAGGTGTACAATAAAAAAGATTATATCTCTGGTTCTGCTGAATTCATTTTGTTACAACGCTAAATCAGTGCATTCTCTTTTAACCAATTTGCTAAAAAGGCTACACAATCTACATCCCAAACGTTCTCTACCTGGATCTTTTGGTGCTTCCATTTTTTCCTTTTTGGGATTCTTGGCTCTCTTGGCAGGAGTCTGGGAGGTTCCCCAGGATGTGTGCTGCTTGTGGCACTCTTCTGCAGAACGTGTTCCCACCCTCCTCGCCACCTTTGCCCAGTAGCCTGCCCTGTGCTTTGGATAGTAGCACACTGCCCTGGGAAACACAAACACGCATGTTATAAAACAGACATATGTTTGTGCAATTATATGCAGGTCTTCAAAATGTTACTCTGTCATTCTGCAGGTATGCAAAACATACTCTTGTAGCTTCATGAGCTCTGCTTCGGTCCACTCTTCTTCATCTTGATGCTGTGTGTTGCCTGTGCTTGCCTTGTGTTTCTTGCTGGATTGTGTTGACTTAGGCAAAGGGTTTGTGGGTGGGGATGTCTTGGTGCATTTGCTCCGTTTATGCTTGGTTTGTGTTTGTATAGCATCGCTATTTCTGGTCACTCTAGCTCTGGTTCTCTTCTTCAGTTCCTCCCCGCTCTCCTCAGACGACTTGGATGACGACAAAAACATGTCGCTCGCCTGCGACTTGTTGAGAACCTTCACGCCCGTCTTCCTGTGCACTTCTTTCCCGCTCTTCTTTCTCCTAACACAGAACTCATCATCTGACGACTGATGGGGTGATGTTTTATCATTAACAGTGGAAGATTCTGTGGATGCTGCGACAGCCCGCTTGCTCCCCGAGGCTCTCACTGAAGGCCTTGTGGTGTCATGCGTCTGTTTTTTTGACCTCCGTGTTGAAGACTTCTCAGGTTCTCTTTGCTTTTGAGGGACAATGTCCACATGCTGTGTTCTCTCTGTAGCTGGACACCTTTGGCTGGACCTTGTCCTTCTGCCAGACCACTCGTCAGGGCTGCTAAATGTCTCCACGGGTGGTTCAGGTGAACAAGAGGGCTTCTTTTCATGGTTAACCTTGGCTCTGTTGCGTGTGCGGATAGGCGCCTTGACTCTCCTCAGTGGTACTGGTGCCTCTTCGTCACTCGCCGATTCACACTGCTTATGGCCTGGAAAGACAGAGGACAGTTTGTCTGCATGCAGCTCATAACTTATCTCACAAATTCTACAGTTCCTCAGGTATCTTTACTTTCACTGCAGGGCAGGAAAACGCGGGCAGGTTTCTGTGACGCGCCCGCAGACACTCTTGTGGCGACCTCCTGTGAGATAGAGATTAAACATGGTCACGGTGATAAAAAATACCATACGGTGTGAGGGCACATAGAAACACACAACCACTCACACTCACATTCACAGGGGGGAAAATATTCAGGATAATTAAGTAACTCTAATGAGCAAAGCTTTAGATGCTTACAGGCTGGCAGATGGAGGTGTCATAACATTCATGGATGGTAACATTCATGTGTGCATCAAGGATGACTCTCCCTCCTTTCCAGTACTCCAGAGGCGCCTTGATCACGCGACCACTTCGAGACACTTTTGTACAAGAAGAGGAGGCAGGAGGGCAGGAAGCAGCTAGAGAAGAGGAGAGAATAAAACGTTGGCTGTGCTTTGTGTTTAGTGCTAATTATCAAAGGTTAGCATGCTGGCATACTAAACTAAGATGGCAATCATGCTAAAACAATACTCCTGCTTAGCATCCCCATGTTAGCGGTGTTATTGTGAGCTGTACTCCCTTTTCAAATTGAATCAAACAAAAGTACAAAATAGCAAGAACTGGGAGAAAAGTTTCTACAAATCTCAAGCATATTTAGTTACTTATTTTTATGTTCTTGTACAGACCATTAATTTGCTTTTGTTTCTTTTGTACTTACGTGTCTTCATAGGCTTTTGCCTGCACCGCTTCACAGATCCATTGATGGACGATGCGCCAGATTTTGTCTTTGCTATGATGCTTCTCCCCTTACTGCTCCCCTCTGTTTCTCTGCTGGGATTGCCACAACAAAAAAAATTAAGCTGTTCAAAAGAAAAAAAAAACGCTCATTTTAAGAACTAACTATTTGGCTTGGTTTTTTGCCACTCACAACTCATTTCATTGCGTGCTTAAAATATTCAACATCCCCAACAAAGAGAAAAAAACATTGTTGTAATCAGTAACAGCATGGAGCAAAATAAATAAATTCTTACTCTCTTGACTCTGACAGGAACTTCTCATAAAGTGCCTTCCAGTTTGGAGGAAAGCCATTAACAAACTTCTTCAAAAGCCACTTTGGAAACACTGCAGGTAAAAAGTTATTATTAATCCATGCAAAATTGGAACTTGCATCTATATGCATGTTTATTTATGTACTTTTAACTTCTTTTTGCCAAAGTGAAATTCACTAGAAAATACCTACTGATGCAGAATCTGGCTTACCGGAGTGAACGTCAAAGTTCATCTTGCCAACCAAGACGTAAACCCTCCCAGAGATAGTCTTTACCACACAATTAGAAACCCTCTCAGTGATGATGTTACTGTTCCATGGTATGTTGTTCTCCCTGGGTGGAAAAGAAAGTAAAAAATCCCAGTGTTCAGTTAAACCACACAAACATCTAAAGCTAAAGTTACTTTAGGCAATTTACTTCTGAAGCATTTTTTGTTATATAGGTCGAGATTCTTTACATTTAGGACAGCATTCAAATAAATCAAATGCTCTGATCTGTGATCTGTGGCTGCTGCAGGATTGCAATAAGTAAAGACTGGCGAGCCCACCTGTCTGTCTACCTACCTATTAGCTATAATACACTTTGATTGCGTTGTGTTCTTCTTCACAAACATTTTTTATAGTTCATCATTGATCATTCATTTTTGATAAATCAGGATGTCTCAAGAAACGCTTACCTGTGGATTCCATCAACAAAGAGGCCCTTATGATTCTTCCTCAGGAACCACTTTTTGAGATAAATCACACTCTCCTGTCAAAGAGGAAAACACAAGCCCAATAAGGAACAACAGACAAAACTGTCAAAGAGACAGAGAGGACAAACTATGTTCAATTTCTATTTCCCACTTGATCTCCAATGTGCCAGCAAATCCAGACCTTTTGGTCTCCAACATTTTGAATTTATTAGTGGTCTGATTTCACGTGTTCAATCAACACAAGATAATCTTTTATTTTTGCCTAACTGTTCATCCCTATATGCAAAAAACATTTATCAAAAACTTAAATTTAAAGATTCTACTCACACTTGGGAATTTTGCGCAGTTCGGCCATTTGTTGCGCTTGAACACAGCCTCTTGTTTCTTCGGTATGGAGATTCGTGGCGTGTTGAGTACGAGAGGGTCTTCAAGCAAAACAGCTTGTGATGGCTCAGCAGGGATCAGGGCATCCTCAGAGGGATCTGTGTCTGACTGGCTGTCAGCTGACTCTTCTGTGGGCCGGGTGACAGGCGCCACACTTTCTGGAGCACTTGCAAAGGCACTGTCCTCCATCTCACGCATACTGTGAGCTGTGGAGGGAGGCGAGTCTCTGGACTGATGGAAATTACCTGTGGAAAAGAATGTAAGTAATAACAAGAACCAAACTATGTTGTGCAGCATATAAAATGCAAACATGACAAACCATGTCTAACATACTATGTCTTCATACACACACAGCTTAAACTAAACTTTTTGCTTTTGGTTTGCTGGATTCAAGTCTGTCCACTTCACACTCACCGCCATCAAAGAGATCCCTCGTGCTGCTGCAGACTTTTTGAACCTCCAGCTGCTCCACTTTACTTTCCCTCTCCTTCATGTAAGCAAACATCTTGGCTGGAGACATTGGAAGAATTTTTTCCATAGTAACATAACAACCTGTTCAAAACAACAGACACTTCTGTCAGTTTCTTCCCTCCAAATGATGACGCAGGGGAAAAGAGTTTCACTTAAAACAAAGCAGCAATAATATCTCACGTTTCGTTGCGGTGGGTCTTGGTGGTGGGAACATGGCTTCCTGAGTGAACTGGTTCATCTCTGATCGGTCAGCAGAGGATCCTCCAAGATCCATGGGAGTGTTCTTCTGGGTGTCATCCTTGCTTGATGCACTGGAGGTTTTCCTTTCTCGTGGCTGGCTTATGATTTCATTGCTAATCTCCTTTGTACTGCTGCTGACTTTGTTCAACTCATGCAGCTCCCATTTCCTCTTCCTCAACCTCTTCCTCATGGGGGAAAATATATAGGTTGGAGAAGTCAGTTCTTCGAGAGGAGCACATTCCTCCTCAAACACACTCCTTACATAGTCATTTTCTACAGGCTGTATCTTTACTGGAGTCCTGCTGGTCACCTTAAAACCATTCAAGTCTCTGATCTGAGGTGGTTCTGTGAGGATCTGCTTCCTGAAGGGACGAGAGTCAACTGTTGACTCCAGGAAGGCTCTCTGTCTTTGTGTACATCCATGTCCTATGTCAGTCACAGGAGGCATTTCCTCCACGAGCCTGCTGCTGAGGTCTGAATACGAGCACCCTGTTTTCTGAGGACTCGATATAGGCGACAGGGTCAAGGCCTGCGCTTCATTGCGATACGAACCAAACCTCTGATTCTCCTTGAGATCGTCGGTCATCCAGGTGCTCTCTGCTCTCTTCCTGGGCGACCTAAAACCTGCCCCATGTTTCTCTCTAACGTTACACAGCGGAGCCTTGCCTGTTAAAGTCCCGTCCTTCGCGCACATCCCTTCCCTCTGCACTTTAGATTTTAGCTTAGCAAACACCTTGGCAGGAGATTCAAACCGCGGTCTCGTGTGTTGTAATACATGGTGATATGACGCCATGGTGTTGGGGAGGGGAAGAAAACAGATTAACTTACATCCGTGGCGTATGCTAGCAGCTAGCTCGCTAGCCCGCAAATTTCAAATTTCTCATTATTGCCGCCCTTGGCTAGAAACCTGTGACGTAGTTCCAAAACATACGTCACTTCCGCAGAGGCTTCTTCTTCTGCTTCTTTTCCTTCTTCTTCTTCTTCTCTTCGTTAACGGCGGATTGCAAACAACTTTTAGGTGCATACCGCCACCTACTGTACTGGAGTGAGTAACATCATATAACTCAAGTACAAAACTCATAAATAAGGTGCTCTCATATTCTGTTTACCAACCCAGTGTCTTTAAGGAATTAAAATAATGCCTTCCTGGTGATTCTTATCCCCTTTTACCCTCCTTCTGTTCCCAATACCCCCATCAGATTCCATTCCTGCCCTTGAAATATCTGTCTTTCCAACTCAAACAGTATGTAGTGCAAAATGACATGTTCAATATTTTCTTTAACCCCACACTTTTCACACTTTTCACTATTCCTTTTCCCCAATAAGAACAACAACTGTGTGATCAACTCTTTCGATCAAGTCTAGTCATTATAATTTCCTCCCACCTGCCCTTTCCCTATAATTTTTATTACTGACAGACTTTTGTATTTTATAGTAACTCCTTCCTTTCCTGTCTTCTCCCTCCATTTCTGCCATATTTCAATACCTTTCTTCTTAATTACTGCTTTTACTTCTCTTTTTCCTTGTGGTATTTGAACTGTTATTTCCTTTTGTAATGCCTCTTTTGCTAGTTTGTCTGCAATCTCAATCTCGTTAACTCCCTCGTGTGCAGGCACCCAACAAAACGGAACATCTAACGTTATCCCTCCCCGATGTAATCTTAATAAGCTGTGAAACATTTCTATCAGTAGGTCTTCTCTGACAGATGTCATTGTCTGAATGCTTTTAATAACTGCTAAGGAGTCATGGCATAACATAACAGATCTTGTCCTGGGGCTGTATATCCCATGCCTAATGAGCTATGTTGAGTTCTGATATTGTAAAATCCACATCTAGCACAGCCACAAAAGCCCTACCCAACATCTCTGCCTATTCTTTGTCCAACACTACCGCTTGTCCTCCATCTATGAAAGGTAGGATTTTAGTCACTTTCCTTTTCCCACTCATTCTTTTAAACATAGACCATATGTCCCCTAACTCTACTCCTCTACAATGGTGGAACAGAATTCTCTCCAATTTTTCTTTTTGGTTAACTTAATTGTCCTATGTGCCACAGGACTTTTCCTTTGAAAATCCAAAAAATTCTCTCGTGACAAAATTCTTCTTTAATGTTTTAAAAGCTTTGTTTCGTTCTTTTACAGCTCTGCTACACTCCTCATTCCACCAGGGGACCACTTTCTTCCTGCCCTTTGTTGTTCTTTTTGGAATACTTAAATTTGCTGCATTTATAATGTGTTCTGTAATTTGCTTTGTGCATTCCTCTACATCACCTTCTAATGTCACATGGTTTGCTGACTTCGTACAACATATACAAAATTTTTCCCAGTCTGCTTTCTCAAAGCACCATCTGTTAATTGTACTTCCTTCTTGAAAACATACATTTGTGATGTTGTGATGTTGTTTGCTGCTTGCATGTATCAGTATTTGTTTATTGTTCAAAAATCTTGCAAATTTAATTTTGCCGATCTCCGTCTCAATCGCCCTGGTAGGTTCAATTGGGTGATAGTGCCCGCCATCCTGGTTAAACTCAATTATAACGTTCCAATTGTTTCCTTGCACTTTCTCACACTTCTGTCACAGAACCACTCAGTGAATTAGGTCAAAAGAAATTAAGCTAAGAACTTGTCAAACATTATCTGGCTTTCACATTGAAAACTTAATGAAAAGTGAATTGGAGAGGAAATAAAGATGATGTTTCTCTTTCCTCCTCCATCCCTGTCCCTCAGATATATTCCAGCAAGGTCTGTTGGAGCGAGTGCCTCAGAAGATCAATGAAATCCCTCTGTACTACATGGGCAGAAACTACCTGGAGTCACTGATGGCCAGTTAACATTTGGGGACTGGGTCAGGATTAGGTGAGCAGAAAACTGTCTTAATCTGCAAGAAGTATTATTCAAAATCAAGCAACACTCAACTGTATTGTTAAAGTGATATATTTACTTATTATAACCTCTCACTTTGTCCCCTCTCCAGTGAAATGCTACTTGGACCTATACCAAAGTATTTCAACTTTTTGCCCAAACAAGTGAATTTCAACTTCACTACTAAAAAAACACCCAGGTTTTTCTTTTGACTCTAGAGAATAAGATTACAAGAAAGGACATTATTGTTTTAAACGATAAAGACTATTGAATAGTCTGCTTATTTGACTTATGGTGCAGTAGTAGACTATAAGGGTGTTCGTGTTCTTGTACTGAAATATATGCAATAAACTCTTTTGCCACCCTGAGAAATTTCTGTGTCTTATTTTATATTTTACTTCTAGTTAAAGAAGCTGAAAGGTGTGATTTCTGATCCAGTCCAGCAATGCTCTGTGAAATACATTTAAACATAGCCGTTTACATGAAGCTTAAGGAGATTGAAATGAAAGCCAGCTGAGTTTAATTATTTCACTCAGTGAAATTAATCATTTAAATGTTAATGACAGCCTTTATTAGGTATAATTGTAAAATGTAATCTATTCAACATCTTTGTGATAAAATGTATTTGTGTGATGCTTGTAATATGGTTTTTACTCGGAGCTGTTGATTCTACTTTTGAGATGGAGAGTAGATGGTTTCATATTGTATTTAATCTATTTCAATGATTTTTTAAACAATGACATGTACATACTGTACATGAGGAAGACAATGGCAATATTAGAGACACCTCCAAATATAATGCAGCACCCAAAGGAAAACCCTGTGTTGATTAAATGTGTAACAAGCAATATCCAAGGTGTTATTTAGAAACATAAAATAACTGAACATGCTTGCATTATTCAAAATGTATGTATGAAAGATAAATTCCAGTTATACTTAAGAATAATTTCAGAAGAAGATTTCAAAAAGTGTCCAATAAAGTAGGGGAGACCGAGGGCAATTGTAACATATTTTAGATTTTCCTAATAATTCACAAACTAGATACACTAGTCATCTTTTGATACAAGAAACATATATGTGCACTAATTAATAATACACTTGATATATTTTCACTTATAAGAACAAGACTAAAATATTTAATTAAATGCAAGATGTTGAAAAATAAGTTATATTAACCCACTGCATCTCAAGTAAAATCCTATGCACCCTCAAAGTAATTACTTTACAGGTAATATAAGAGTTCTTAAATAGTTCATTTTAGATGTCAGGCATCCTCTGCTCTCTCTGTTCTAACTTCATAAAATTGCTTTTTACAAGTGAACTAGTCATTCTCTTTGGTTTTGCTGGGTCTTATACCATCAACTACTTAAGTCCACTATACAGACAATGAAGGAACTTTACTTTTGCAGACTTAGGCCTATATAATATTCACACTTTCTGTAAACACATATAAAACACTATTTTATACAAAGAATGTTGGCCTATGTTAATTGGTGATTTGTTCATACTAGAACAAATCCATTTCTTTTAATACACCCTTTTTTAATAAGGTTTTACAATCATATTTAGTAAAATATGCTTATTTCCAAAACAGACAGACAAGCTGCTTACATTGGGCCATGTGAAGTTGCAGCCATGATAAAATCTGTATGCCCACTAGCCACAACTATATAAGTTTGTTAGTGTTAATTGTTAATCAATAAACTAGAGATAAAATGTATTCTAGTTTAGATTTGCAGTCATCTGAACTAGACACCAGAAGAAAAATGCTGCACATCCAAAAAGTTACTTTCATACCTCAAAATCAGTATTTTGTTTAAAACTTCTGCTAAGGTGAAATGATCCTGCTCCTTTTCCACAGGCAGAGAGAGAGTCCTATTGAGCATGTGCAGATTAAGTGTCATCACTCTAGCTTGTTTCTGATTGGAGAAATTGAGTGTGTTACAATTGCCCCCTGTTACAATTGCCCCCGGTCTCCCCTATTTGCACAGACTGTGTGCCTGTAACTTGTAAGATAATGTCATACATTTACATAATTAAATGTTGGTCAACTGATTTATTATTATTATAAGAACTGTAACATCTTAGAAACGTGGCAAGTAACAGGCGGGTTTCGTTCCCAAACCTGCGACTTTAGTTGAGTAGCGAGTGCCAATCAGTAGTCACCAGGTGCAGTCCTGACTGTGACTCTGCTGGTTTCAATAGAGGGTTTGGCGCGGATCAAGAAAATTCAATGTACTAATGTTTATGAGAGCTACCAGCAGTCTGAACCACGAAGTGTTACCTTGCCAGGTAAACAACCACCAATGACACAGCACTGATAATGAGCGTGTGGTCACTGAAAGCAGGTTCTTGTAAATGTCTTCTTTCACATAAACCTGTATTACTGCATTAAGAACTACACTTATTAACAAATCTGGGCCTGCATGTGTTTTTACAGCTGAACCATTATGTAATTTATGAAGGACAGTAACACACAAACATCACTTTGTGACTGTCAATCACAGAGTTAAGTCACAGACTTTGATTGTAGTGACTACTTTGTTTTTCCTTTTTGTGTGAATCACTCTTGGACTGTGCTTGCTTGTAGAAATACATGACCAAAAAAAAATCCAATGTCCAGATGGTGCGTTCCAACATGTGAGTGTTCATTTACTTCTTGCTTACAGAGGCTGAAAGAAAATGACTGCATGAACTAAACGCTAACTGAGGTATTAAAAGGTAACGATACAATCCACACACAGCCTAAAAACTGTATGCTCAGCTGTGCCACTAGGCTGCAGCACACTCTGTTATGCCTTCTGGACCTGTAAAGACAGAGCATTAGCAAATCACCTAAATATCTAAACATACAAATTTGCAAAAAAAATAAATATAAACTATCAAATTGGCTCCTACAATGATCCTTCTTTAAATGTTAATATTACTATTGTCATGTTATATCTGCTCTTCTGCCTTTTTGAAACTAACTAAATTGTTAACTTGGTGGGTCAAATGTATGAGAATATATTAACCTATGCTGCCCTACAAAGGTTAAGTGCAGTAACT